CAGACAATGACATCCGTATATTCAAGGTTGAACTATAATATCGATGAATGTTTACTTCACAGGCCTGGGCAGTGCACACAAACACAGCGCTGAATTACATCATTGGAAAGTGACATGACAATAAAGCGTTAGAGAAAAGCCAATAAATATGATGTTCTACGAGCACACACAAACACACTAATACACACGTGATGGGATCAAAAGACACTGGCATACTTACATACCGACGTATAAATATAAAACCCTTAACGTAGACATGTGCAGCCATTATCAATTCACTGCTGGATGAGGGCTTCCCTACACCGTGGGGGTCATGGGGGGGTTACTTGAACATTCTTCACCACGCTGGTCAGTGCTGGTTGATGAAGGTGGGGAGCATAGAAGTACAGCACAACAATGTATTTTTCTGCACTGCCCTCTATTTACCCACCATTTAGCCCCTCAGAACTAAACTATTCTAATTTACCAGGAAAAGCCCACTGAGCTCTTACCAATTTTACAGGTGACACTGGCCATACATGATAGCTCATTAAAGTGGCTTACACCATCATACGTAGGAATTTATAGTCGCCAAATAATCAAATCGCATTTTTCTGAATGTGGAGGTCAAAAGCGGAGTACCCAGAGAAAAATCCATGCAACCACGTGGAGGTCATTTAAACTCCATACATATAGAGGTACTCTTTGGTTCTTTCGGTAAAGTCACGTAGGTAGAAATAAACTAAATCACGACGTTTCGGGCGCAACACAAGCGTCCGTCATCAGGTGGGACAACCACAGCAAGAAACAATTGCTGAAGTGGGCAAAAGGGCTGCTGTAACAAGAGGTACCTATTGTCCCACCTGATGACGGACGCTTGTGTTGCGCCCGAAACGTCGTCATGTATTTTATTTTATTTCTACCTACGTGGCTTCACCGATAGAACCAAAGAGTATGAATTCCTACAGTCACGAAAGCTTCAAATCAAACCGAAAGCTTAAAATCAAACCAGGTAGATAGTCTTGACACCGCAGCACCCATAACAACCTGTCATCACCCATCCAAGGATTGTCCAGGCTCAACTCTGCCTAACTTCAGAATTTTGTCAAGATCAGACGCATTCTGGGGCTTAATTTGGTCAAAGACAACATTTACATACAAAACTGAAAAAAAAACACAAACACACCAAAGATCCTCCATATAGCCGGCACGTCACACAAGGGGGTGGGTGGCCAACACCACGCCCGGTCGCCTTTGTCTCCCTAGTGGCGATGTTTACACACCACACCAGGTACTCACTTGAGGCTGAGTCGATCTAGGGGAGGCCCAGGCCCAGTTCAAATAATCGTCACTGTTGTTGGCCGTGAGAGGGAATCGACCTCGGGATACCGGGTTCATAGCGCAGCGCGCTAACCCCCACACTGCCGGCTCCCCACTCATATACACAAACACACGCATACCAAAACTGAAGAAGCAATTTGGATGCGTATATATACATACACACGTATGTGCAGTCACTTGCATTCACAGAGATAAACACGGGCATTCATATACACGTACGTACATACCAACACCAACATACTGTTGTGACCACGCTGATAAATGGAAGCAGCTGTTAACACAGCCACTGGCAAACACAGACACTGTACAAGTGTAATCATTCATCTTGATTTATCCACAGCTGGATGAAGGCCTTACCAAGCTGTCGCTGCCTCTCACAGTCAAGACAATGCAACAATTAATCTCGCTCTACACATACGCTGATCCTCATCGCTCATCTTCGCGGTGCATGCATCAGCACATTTTTTTCCTTCGGTTGCTCCTGTTGCTAGTGTCGACCACTAGCCATCACCCGTTCTAACCATGTGTCCGACCCAAACACATCTGCTTTCCTCACAGCAAAAAACTATGACTGTGACTTGCGTTTGCTCTCTAATCCATGTTGTCCTATTTCCGTCTCTCGCCGTACAAAACATACCATACCAACGGACACATATGGAGACAATGAAACACAATGACAAATACATGCACGCACATATACATGGAAATCAATACGAACACACAGCTAAAATTACATTGGTACGTACAGATGAAAATACACTGACAAAGCAACCAAAGTAACTCCAGCCATCATTCGTCACAAAGTAACGGTGATGTCACCGCGGCAATCGTGTCAACACCGAGGTGCACTCTGAGGCCACGTGAAGTTGTGGAAGGAAGGCTGTCAGAGGGTTAACGGGCAGACCCAGGTGTTACGGCTTAACTGAGATGATGGACAGATGCGTCACCTGTGCTCCTCACTGTGCCAAGTGACATATGCTACACACACACACCTACAAACCAACACAAAGACAAAGATCCCGCGTATAGCCTGAGCAGACTGTAGGGGCAAATGCTATTAGCGAGCACCTTTGATGGCCGGCACGTCACACGAGGGGGTGGGTGGCCAGCACCATGCCCGGCCGCCTTTGTCTTCCCAGTGGCGATGTTTACACATTGCACCAGGTACTCATTTGAGGCTGAGTCGACCTAGGGGAGGCCCATGAGCGGTTCAGATAATCGTCACTGGTGTTGGCCGTGAGCGAGAATCGAACTCGGAACGCCAGGTTTGTATTGCAGCGCGCTAACCGCTACAACTACTGCTCCCCACACACGAACAAACCAACACAGCACACATATTCTTGGTTCTTTCGGTAAAGTCACGTAGAATATGAATCAATGCAGTCACGAAAGCTTTAAATCAAAACACAGCACACGTCAACTCGTTTACATTACGTAGTGCATACACGCCGCGGCTCATGCCACGGGTCTCATCCACCACCTCTGGGATGAGCTGCAATGGCACAGATTTTTGGGTATGGACCCTGTACACACATACCACACGGGCACTGCCATACACACAGACACACATACCACCGGGCACACATAACATGTGCAAGTAACGCAATCACACACAGATGTGAACAATGATGACGAAGTCAAAGATAAAGTTCCCCCGTATAGCCTATACGCACAGGCCGTGGGGACAAGGGTTGTTAGCGATAACTCGTGAAGGCCGGTTCAGCTCACCAGGGGGTTTCTGGCCACAACCACGCACGGTCGTCTTTGTCTCCCTCGTGGCGATGTTTAACAACATCGCACCAGGTACTCATTCGAGGCCAAGTCGACCGAAGGGAGGCCCAGGACTAGTTCAGATAATCGTCACGGGTGCCAACAACAACACGACCGCTCCCCCTTACAATGACACACAGAGTGACACGCACCCAAGTGAATACACCCCACACACAATGTAATTTAGACAAACAAATACACCCACAGATAAACAAACAGTACACAATGAAGCCAACACAAACAAAAACTCGCAGTAACACCTACAGATACGGACAAATGTCTCCCCCGTGTATCCTTTAACAGACTGCTGTGGCAAGTGCAAGAACCTTTAAAGGAATAACTTTAAAAGGACGGTACAGTGCACCAATAGGTCAGCACCACCCCTGGCCGCCTTTGTCTCCCCAGTGCTGCTGTCCAGCCACGGGGCCAGGTCATCATTTCCAGTGCACCCAAGAGGCGCCGTTCGACACTTAAGTGGCGGTTACGCAACCACAGCGCTTGTGCCAGGCTAGGTGCAACTTGAGACCACGTGCCAGTGTCAACGGCTGGCCGACAAACGGGAGGAATCAGTCAAAGTGAACACACACACACACGCCAGCACAGTGACATGCGTACATATAACCACGTACAAATACAAAGACGCACGAGTTACTTCAAAGGATGCAAATCCAACATCTAGACATTCTAGAGACCGTGCCCCCCCCCCCCATTAAATCAGAAGCGACGCATGTCCACTGACAAGCGGAGTTTGCGGTAATTGCACTTTTAAATTACTAACGCCATTTAAACAGACGCGGGGCAGCCTGTCACCCCACCCCCCCTCTGCTGCTCGCGGTCTCGGGAGATCTTCTAGTGGACTACCGAGGAGGAGAGAGGAGGATCCTCCCTCCTCATCACCCTCCTCCTCCTCCATCCCCAGCACCTGGGTCCCCTCTTTCTCCGCCCCAGCAGACGCGGCGTCACGATCCTTAATTGCCCTGATTAATCGTCACATCATTAACTAGGACGGCCGGTCCCCTCGCCGGAGGCGGTAGCGTTGGGTTGGGTGCATAGTTGTAATGGGAGGGTGGCGTAGAGGGAGAGAGATCACAGGCTGTCAACATCGATCCATTGCCAAGAACCACGGACAACGTTCATCATCATCATCGCCGCGACCGTCGTCGTCAGGACCATCACACGGCCACAATGTACCACCGTGATTCATGCTGTGAGAGGGATGCTGAGATTTGGGGTGATTGAGAGATATGTTGTTGTCCTTGTTTTTATCATCACGATCAACAATGTTGTTTTTTTTACCAGATCTTAACCATTTGCAACACCGTGATCATCGTCATCAACATCAACCACAAGCTGCCTTCTAGTAACCTCATCTCTCGCTCCAGGTATTCCTGGCGACTCCCCCACCCCCCACCATCAACCTTCACCATCTCCATATGCCTCAATCGTCTCCAAACTCCACCGCCTCCCGTCTCTCCCCCATTGCACCATTGCCGCGACTCTGTCTCACCTCTTCTTCCATCGTCGCATCCTCCTACAACGCCACCTCTATTACCCCCCTGCAACATCTGCATCCACCGCAAGAGCTACTCACCCCCCCCAAGCCCCACCTCGTCTTTCTCCAAGTTTTTCTGCCACTTCCATCCTCCACCGCCTCCTCGACCACCTCCAACATCCTTCGCCTTCCAACAACTCCACCCTCTTCCTCAAACCCCCCACCACCATCACCACCTCATCCTCCTCCTCCTCACGCTTCCCTCGTTTTTCAGTTTCTGCCGTCACTTTTTCTCCTCTGCCTCCAACCACCACGATACCTCCCTCCTCTGTAACCTCCACCACCTCCTGCCTCCATCACCACATGCAACATCCACCTCATCCGCCACACCTCTTCATACACACCCCTTCCCCGTCACCTCGTCAGGTCGTCTCGAACCGCGCGGCGCCCCCCACCGCCGCTGCCTCTCCAAACGCCGCGGCGAACGCTGCCGGGGTTTGTCACAACTCGCTCCGCGTCCCCTCTCTCCCTCGCCGCCTTCTCCTCCTCCTCCTCGTCGTCGTCTCCTCCTCACGTCACCTCGTCGTCGCACACGCAGCGAGGGCGGCTTCAAACGTTGCCGAGAGTCGCACCGCGGCTCATGTCACCGCCAGCACCAAACACCACCTCCTCGTTCCACGCCCTCCGCCTGCCGTCGTGACGTCATCGCGCCGGTTAGGCGCGTCGCGAAAGTGACGTCACCACGCACGGTAGAGGTATAGCGGGGCCGAGGCGGGGCCATCGCGACGTTACGTCATCACGCACCGCGTCGGAGCGGCGGCGGGTTTCGATTCATTCTCCAATCGACGGCGTCGATTTTTGAAAGCTTTAGACGCGGACGCGTAGAATCGCGCACGGTATAATCTATTAGCTGTATCGTGGACGATTCTTTTACGGTTCGAATCATAATACAGCGTCGGCTTTACCCCTGCAGCCGCGAGAGACGCGACGTTCGCATCGGCGCAACGACAACAAAATAAATAATCGATTTCTCACCGAAATCGAGACGTCAAAACCACGGACCACGAATCGATATTGTTACGATCTCTCGTTGCTGCAGGCTTTTCAATGAACCCACCCACACGCGAGGCGATGCGCATCGTTAAGTAATCGACTACTGGCCAACCGCACGATCCCGCGGGCTTATTTGGCTCGGTGACCCGAAGGAGATTTTCAAATTTGGAGAAAATCGATCCTGGAGGCTGCCGTGACGTCATCGCGCACTGATCGAACGCGATGACGCGGCACCGCTTTCGCATTACATCATCCGTTAAAGCGCAAACCGCCGCGTGTGACGTCATCGCGTTTTTACGCACTGCGGATGACGACATCACGCCACAACGCGGCTCCGACATTACGTCATGTCTATTTATAGAACACAGCGAGGCGTTGGTCGCTTGTGCAGCACTGTGCAACGTTGTTGTGGTCGGCTTGGAGAAAAGTTAATGGCGCAGAGAAAATTAACAATTACGTTTAAACTGATTTGTGTTTTTGTACTTGTATTTTACCACGTGAGCCCCACTGAGCTATATTGCTTCTTTTTTATTGTCACAAGCGACCCGGCAGCTCAGTGAAGTGGCTTATCATTGTGTGGACATTTATAGCAAGCCAAAAATGCTCTCCAACGCGAGTTGTTCATTCTAAATGTGGAGGGGGGGGGGGGGAACCGGAGGACACCGATAAAAATGCACGCGACCAAGGGGAGAGATAGTGACAACATGCAGACTCCAAACAGGGGTCAAGGTCGAACCCACGACCTCCTTGCATACCTGGCGATGGAGTTAACATCGTCACCGCGGCGCTGAAGGCGACAGCGATTTGAATACGAGGGAGCTTCGCCGATACATCCACACGACTGATCAATGCCACCAAGAGATGCAGTGGCATCTGTGCAGACAAATCGTTCGCTGTGCTGCACTTTTCATGCAACCCACAAAGCGGCAAATTCTGACCGTATTTACCAATCCCGACATGACCGGCGTGGTGAAGTATGGTGAAATACCACCCCCCCCCCCCCCATGGAAGTCGTCATCTAGCAGTGGAGTGACTAAACGGCCTATAAACGAACAGAACAATAGTGATTTAAAGCTTTCGTGACTGCAGTGATTCATATTCTTGGTTCTTTCGGTAAAAAAAGGTAAAATCGCAGCCCCGCAATAGTTTACTGCACTCCACTCCTGCGCGTGGGCCTCTGAACGCCAATGCGGCCAACTCGGGTAAACGCGGACCCACATTTTATCCCACTAGTCACACCGCTTACACTGTGACCCACAAAGACAAAGATCCCCCCCGTATAGCCTGCAGCAGACTGTCGGGGCAAGTGCTGTTAGCGAGCACCTATGAAGGCCGGAACGGTACGCGAGGGGGTGGGTGGCCAGCACCACGCCCGACCGCCTTTGTCTCCCCAGTGGCGGTGATTACACGCCGCATCAGGTACTAATTTAAGGCTGAGTCGACCTAGGGGAGGCCCAGGACCGGTTCAGATAATCGTCACCGGTGTTGGTGGCCGTGAGCGGGATTCGAACCCGGCCACCCGGGTTCGTAGCGCAGCGTAGCGCTAACCACTCCGCCACCGCTCCCCACAACTGTGACCCCCCCCACCACTACTACCACTAAACCACGTGGCGCGAGTACTTCCGGGTCGCCATGGCCGCCTGCTGATGCGCGCGCGTGTTGCTCGATGTGCCGGCTCTGACCTTCGCTTTAAATAATAATAATAAATAAATTCCCCTTAAAAGTTTAAACATTTCATTGAGTATTATTTTTTTGTTACAACGCGATCCTGTTCTGTTCACGCGCCATATCGCGGTTCTTGCACCCGAGGCTCCGGGGGGTCTCGGCGAGCGCCGCTGAAGGTGAAGTTGTTGATGTTTGTAATTAACATCGAATAAAATATCCGATGCTGTCATCGAGGCCTCGTTCATTTACGGGTTAAGCGCTGCTTGTTGTTGTTGTGTGCTTACTGAATCACGAATAACCGTCTCGGCACTAAGTTAACGTAGCCCCATAGCCCGCCCGTGCAAACGGGGCGAGAGTTTTCTGCAGAGATAATAAGAGAGGTAACGTGTATCGATGTAGACCGATATCTATCGACGTTAAGGCAGGTTACACGGGATGTGCAAAGCCACGGAGAGACGAGGTCAGAGGTAGACGAGGGGACGCGGAGGCGACAAACGAGAGACAGGCTTCATGGGTGAGGTGGTGGTAACGTGCCCGTGAGATGAGACGCGTACAGAGACGAGACACACACACAGGGACATAGACACACGGAGAGAGACGGGGGAGAGGTCGACGTAGCGAGGTGGGGAGACGAGAGGGACAGGCAGACAGAGACGCAGAACGAGAGATGTAGAGAGAGACGGACACAGAACGAGAGATGTAGAGAGAGAGACGGAACGTGGCCGAAACGTTACGAGTACAGCACACCGGTGTGTTGGAGAGCCAAGCCACAACATTTACAATCTGAGTATGTACGACGTTTCGCCAGTAATTACAACTTGCTTCATCAGGCGACAGCCAGATTTGTTTTGGGTGGTGGCGGGTTTAACGACACATTTATTTACGCGATCTAACCCAAAACAACCTCTCTTTACGGATGATATTGGTCGCGAAAGCCTACGTGTTAAACAGAGAGACGGGAGCTTTGTCCTATGTGGAGACTGGCCGTCACAATGGGGATTTGTAATTTTCGCCCCAGTCTTTTAAGTTTCTAGATTTAAAGCTTTCGTGACTGCAAGGATCCATACTCTTTGGTTCTATTCGGTAAAGTCACGTAGGTAAAAAATAAAACAACAATAATCACGACGTTTCGGCCACAACACAAGCGGCCTTCATCAGGTGAAGGGACCAGGCTGTCTAGAGGACAGCGCTGGAGTGAAACACAGCCACGCTCAGACCGCGACCTTTAAGCTGTGTGCGAGGAAACAAGGTGCCTTGACAAAGGAATTAGCATAAAAAATAGCAATTCATTGGCCGACTTAGCATGATGAACGGTGTAGAGGTGGTGTACATGCGGGTGAACATGCCGGTTGGCGCGGGGGAGTTTACCTATTGATGGTGTGAAAAGGGATTTTTTTTTAAGAGCTGCGAAAGTTTGGGGTACCACTACTTAAAAAATATACTGTACCATTGAAAATTAGTTTAATGTTTGGTTCGATTTAGAACATCTTTCCAATGGTTGCTTAATTTGAAACCATCTTGGTTGAAATTGTGTCTGTGTTTGTAGATCTGAATTGCCTCGTGAACAAATCTCTGATAAAAACCCGTGGGTTTGCAAAGAACCTTGGTATCGGAGAAAATTATATCGTCATCACCCACAGCGTTGTAACAGTGATCAGCTACGGCAGAAGAATTCGTTCTGCCGTGTTTCAAATCTGATTTGTGCTCGCGAATTCGGTCAGAGACATGTCGCTTTGTCTCCCCGATATAGCAATCACCGCAGGTACAACTCAATTTGTAAAACCCCGGGGTACTGTAAGTCAGGAATGACATCCTTCACGGATGGGATCAGATCACGAATTTTGTGTACTGTATTGAACCGGACCTGGATCTTGTGTTTGTTTAGAATTTTGGAAATCTTTTTTAGTAACGCCTGCTATATATGGTAGTGTGATGGTTTTGACCGGAGTATCAAGTGGTTGTTTCTGTATGGAGGGAGAAACAGCTTGGCGGATGGTACGGTCAGAGTATCCATTCCTTTTGAGGGCCAGGTGTACATGTTTTAATTCACTGGTTAGGTGGGGTTGGTCCGAAATGCAATGAGCCCTATGGTATAAAGTTTTGATGAGATAATTATTTTGGTCTGGTTGGAGGTGGGAATCAATTTTCAAGTAGGAATCTGTGTGGGTGGGTTTCCTGTAGACAATGCCCCAATGAGCCATCAGGTCTCCTCTCAAACAGAACATCTAAGAATGGTAGCTTGCCATCTTTCTCCACTTCCATGGTGAATTTGATGGCGGGATGTCTGGAATTGATGCGACAGCTATCAAATTGAAGGTTGTTCATGAAACTGCTGTCTCCTAGGTTCCGAGTGCTTTCCATGCACCGCTGTAATTTTCCGTGGCCCAAATATGAGGCTCAATAGGTCTGTTTTGTCTGTGTTCCAAGGACGAGTGATTGTTCAGCTCAATATTCCTTATACATATACCAGTTATATTCTTAGCTCTTTCGGTAAAGTCACGTTGAAGGGAAACAATAAAGTAATATAATTTATTAATAATATATTTTATTATTTTATTGTTTCCCTTCAACGTGATTTTACCGAAAGAGCTAAGAATATGAATTACTGCAGTCACGAAAGCTTTAAATCAAAACATATACCAGTTGTTAAGACTGTTTATGACAACAGCGGTCGTAAGGCATATTCAAGCAATGCCAACATTGCACCTGGATGAGAGATAACAAAAAAAAAACGGATCCCTCGATTTCATCCACTGTCGGAGTCTGAAGCCCCCCCCCCCCCCCAAGTCATCTGTGCTGTCAATTCCCCACCCCTATTCAAGTGCAGGCTCATGACCTTGCCTTTTTGTTTATCTGCATTTGAATGACTGCCTCTTTCTACAAAATCAGAATCTTTATTTATACTGGGGGAATCCGATGAGCTATAAAGCTCTTTTTCACAGATGTCCAGTAGAGGCGGGTCAGAAAAAATACTATTAATATGTATGCATACTCTATACGTCGTCTTGAAATGCGGTGCCATTTAGAGACGCCATCTATAAATCCATATTGTGTTTCGCATCGAGTAAGTCGTCTTTTTTTAATTAACCGCCCCTCCATTGTAATACAGCACAGAGCAAGACCGTGACTACCGACGACAGTGGTCAATGCCTTCCCCACACTGACAGTTCCTCGTGTCTCATTCAACAGCAGCAACCGCCGAGAGGGAGTCGCCTGCAGCCCCAGCCATGTCGCTGTATGCCCTCGCTTCACGAGGCCTGCGGGTGATCACCTTGGCTCTCCCAAACACCACAGCACGTGCGGGCACCCAGGGCCCGCGACTCCTCGCTCACCACCGCTCCATCACCTCCATAGTTGTGAGTAGCAGCTACAGCAGCAGCAGCAGCAGCGCCGCCGCCGCATGGTGTCGGAGTCTGGCCGCGCGGATTACGGCAAGGCGAGGGATCCCAGAGAGCGGCTTCGCTGCGAGGGGCGTCGATGCCATGGCGCTGGGTCCTGCCCAGGGCTTCCACACGACCACGGAGCTCCACGTGTACAAGGCCATCTGGAAGAAGAAGAAAACGTACACCATCCGGCCCATCGGCAGGAAGAAGACGGGCGGGAGGGACCACACAGGTGACGTACTACGTGATGGTCTTGTCGTCCAAGGTGGTGGGACGGGGGTCCTTCCGGATTATTGACGATTTCAGTCTATGGCTTCTCTCCGCAACTGTTTTTCTGCCTTTGCCACCAAACTGATTTGGATGCAGCCCAAGTGTCATCAATTGCAGGATGCATTCGTGTATTCACGTTTGTTTATTTGTTGCATTTGCGGTGTCATTGGGATACATTCTCAATGTGAATAATTTATTTCTGTATTTTTCAAAATACATAAAAATTAAGCGAACAGACTTAAAAATAAGTGCTTGAGGGATGAATTTATTGTGTTGTTTGAGTATATGAATGGATATTACATGGCTCTTGTCTGTCTTGTCAAAGACAAACAGTGAACGAACAATAGCATAATTTATCCAGGAATGCCTCGCCGAGTCGAAAGGCAAACATCGATATGCTCCTGCATATCGATATTTGACTAAATCCTTGTGGAAAAAAAACTAGAATTCACAGATAAAACCCACCATGCAGACTAGAGGGTGACCTGCTTTACATCTGTAAACTTCTCCCACCCTTCTCGACAACACCGCCCACCCGGTAGGCCGGATCCGAACGCACGGCATCGGTGGCGGTCACCGGCAATGCTACCGCATGATCGACTTCAAGCGGCTGCCGGAGGGCTTGATGGCCGGTCGCCTGGATGAGAACAAGAAGGTGATGGAGGAGAAGGTGATGGAGGTGCGCTACGACCCGCTCAGGTGAGTCGGCTCGCCTACATCGCACCTCCCATTAGCACGGTTGGCTACGTATGGTGGGAAAGAAGTTAAACATGAATACGTACGACGCAGCATCTGGGACATTTAATGTATTTTAGTTGAAAGTGTTATCCTGAAGAGAGGGCCCATTCGGATAAGGCTGCACTTGACTTAAGGGTAACAGAGCAAGCAAAGCTGAGAACCTGGTTTCGAAGCCATTGTGCACACACACCTTAGATTACACCCGGTTCATGCGCAAATAATTTAGGTTTGGGTGAGCACTGAATTTTTTTTTTATCCCATCCCGCTGAAAAAGCTGGGTATTTGTCATGGTGAATATTCCTGTCGTGTTGATGAGAGGTCCTCAGAATATTTCACGTCACCTTCAAGAGCAGTTCTTCAACACAATCTGATGATTGTAAGAAGCCTGTGGTTTGCATAACATATCCGAGGAGCTTGGCACACAAGACCCGGGTCAGTGTAAGACAGCCACGGTGAGATCCCGCATGGTCCGATGTCGTTTCAGGTCTGCAGACATTGCACTCGTGGCCGGCGGAACACACAAGCGCTGGATCATTGCCACCCAAAGCATGCAGCCCGGTGACGTCATCAAGACGTCAGGCTTCATAGGGCGGATGGCAGGTGATGTGCAGTGTTAATTTCACAAACGAAGATATTCTGAAATGAAGTGCGTTTTCTTTCAGTCAATGATGACAATCCACAAATTGAGGTTCGACTGCAAGTTTCCGGGTTGTCGTCTCCTCATCTGAGGCTGACTAAAATAATTAATCAATGCTGACTAAATGAAACACTGGCCCGATGCCAGCCTGAGACACCAAGTAGCAATGATACGGAGCTGTTGTGCACCCATGTGCATTACAGACGTTCATGGAAGACAGGGTCAGAGAAAAGTTGACTTGTACTTGCCTGCATTCACGGCTAATAACATTCAAAGGACCACACAACACAGTAACAAATAGCTGTCTTAGGTGGGTTGTGTGTGCCTTGGCCGTCCGACACGAGATCGAAACATCGTTAATTAGAAGGAAAAAAAAATCCTTTAAAGTGCTCCAGCGACATCACATCGGTGCGATTTGTCAAAATTTGTATGCGTCAATGCAGTGTAATCACGAAAGCGCTTGTTAAATGCATTTTAAACTCTTCATTAATGGCAGTTCAATCTCGCGTCAGCTCAGGTTTGTATCTGGAAAATTAAAGTTATCTTGTTGAGTTGCATCTCCCTTTAACATCAACGAGGAGCCTAGTACATTCTAATCTGCGGCTTATAATGAGCTCATTAGCATAACTCCCGGGTTTTAATGAGCCCACCTCTCCGTCTGCTTTGGCATCCCTTTAAATTGGCCCTTACTCATTCCTTACATCTCACTCCCCTTGCCTGCTCGCTTTCCAATCCGTCAGTTCCACCGCCCCCCCCCAACTCCCATCTCGCTCCCGCTCGCTCACACCGTCACTCTCCGTTTGCCACCCCACCCCTGCTCGTCCCCTCTCTCCGTGCTCAGTGCTGGCGCACGAGGGGGACGCTTACCCCGTGGGGGCACTCCCGGTGGGGACCCTCATCAACAACCTGGAGGTGAAGCCCGGCGCCGGCGCCCAGCTCATCCGTGCAGCCGGTAAGGGCGCAGAATTGTGGGCCATGCGACGGAATCGCACCCACCGTCCCAGCCACCCAACCCGATCCCGGCGATTCTGTTATTCGTCGACAAGTGACGAGTAGCTCCCTCCTACCCCCCAGGCTAAGTAAGACTGTCGTTCGTGTGTGTTGCAGGGACGTGCGGGTTGCTCATCAGGAAAGTGGAAGGAACTGCCATCATTCAGCTGCCGTCCAAACATCAGATTCAGGCAAGAACAGATGTTCAAAAATATATTTCGGTATCCGCAATAGAGCATATTTAAACGTAATTTTGATTTAAGTTTCTTGTTGTAGAGCCACATGGCTGCAGACATGCGGATCAGAAGTATGGAAATGTATGAAGAACTTTGATGGATTGGGGGAAGGCCTTAATGCAGCAGTGGATAGATCTTGGCTGATGATGATGATAAAATGGAACATACCAAATGAAGGTTGTTCATAAACCAGTGTTGTTGGTTTCCAGCACTTTCTGTGCACCACCTTTGTAAATGTGTCTTATTCTAAGGGCCAAAGTTTGATAAAACATTACGTTTTACATATATACCAGTCGAAAGACAGTATTCATTACAATGGTGTTGCAGTATTTTCAGGCAGCGTTAACAACATTTTTCACAAGTGTGTTTTCCTTTTAATTATCCACGGCTCTTCGCAATATTATTGCAGGCAAAAATATACCGCTTTGCTTCAGCTGTTGGACCCCAACATGTGCACAAGGCAGGCACCAGGTGCGCAGGACATGCACTAACCACCTCTGCCCATCGCGCATCCCCTGCAGGTGGCGGAGACATGCATGGCGACGGTGGGCCGCGTGTCGCGCGTCGAGCACAACAAGGAGCCCATCGGCAAAGCCGGGCGCAACCGGCGCTTTGGCCGACGGCCGCAGAGCGGCCTGTGGCAGCGCAAGGGCGGCTGGGCCGGTCGCAAGATCCGGCCGCTGCCCCCGATCAAGAACTACGCCGCCAAGGGATCGCTCATCAAGCCCGCCACGCCCGTTTAGCGTGGGACAAGGAGGAGTATACCAGGGTTGCCAACTGTCCTGGTTTTCCCAGGATTGTTCTGTATTGAAGCAGCTGTCCCGGGAAATCTGTAAGTCTTTAATTGGGACATTCAAGACACTGCATTTCCGTGCAAGGTCCCTGTCGGTATATGCCGTGCGCCTTTGTGTAGATATCGTTCGGGACTGCAAACACCAAAGGTGAAAATGGAACAAAAAGTTATAAAGGGGGCCAGGGGCAGCGTGCCAGAGGTGGGGGGCTAGGGTTGTCGGGCAGTCAGGGCTATGGCTCGAGTTCGGATGGCTCATATCCTCCCAACAATTGGCAGGTTTGCACCACCCTCCGCAAAAAAAAGAACCACTTTTGTTTATTGGCTTTTCACTGGTGTCTACAGTGTGCTTGCAGGGCATATATCTGTGTGTGTTACACAGCCATTCGTGTGCATGCAATTTTTTTTTTAATACAGACTATTAAACGGACGTTTTATTTCAATGCTGTTGGCAGTTCGATCTTGCAGAGCCATGAGTAACTATGAATAAAACGGAAGCCTGTTTAACCTGCTGACGAATTCCAGGTTTATTCAACAGCGACTTGGATTCATTTGGCGGCAAGCAGCTTCTCAACTCCAGTCCTCGACACCTCCAACGTTCCACTTTGTGATTACCAATATTTAATTCATAATCGAATTAAATCACTGCACACTGCATGCACCCGTTGGCTGCTGGGAATGAGTGCAGCAGTCAGTGTACAGGGGTGGGGTGGCTTCATGACATTGACCAATCCATAGTAGGCCAGCGATATAAGAGATTTCAGCGAATGGTATTACCTCCTGTGGCTCCAGGGGTCACGTGAACCCAATTGCAATACAGCATATTTTCTGCGTTTAACGAGTTCCCCCAAGGGATTCAATTTGCACGATTCAGGGACAAGATTACACTCAAGAATCAAAATATCTTTTGTAGAATTTTACCTTCTCGTGTATCGTTTCTCACGCAGTCTCGATTGCATTTGAGTTCGCTCCATCAGTCTTTAATGGCATAAACTTTGCATAGCCCAAAAATAACGCATTCATAACTTGGTGACACAAGTCACTTGGAAATCAGAATACCCTGGGTCTCGTGAGGTCTGACCTTGTTGGACAGTTAAACTAAACCCATCTTATATGGCACATGTATCATGAACCTTAAGCAATATTAATCTGGGCATCATGCATGTAACTCACAAATCGAAAACATCGATTCTCATGGGATTTGATTGATGTATTGTGATCTTAAAAAAAGCACAGGTTCACGCATATATCAGTATACACCTACATAATCACCACCAATGATGTTTCCTCCACTTGTATTGCTCCTAATTGAATTGAGAAATGCACACTTTGGTGCATTTAACGTCACCAGCCGCGGACACCCCAAGTGGAGAGAGTTGAGAATTTCAGTCACCAATTGTGCAAACAAAAAAAATCCCATTCAAGTTTAGTTTTCCCTTAAATTCCAATCGAGTACAATCTGGACTTGTAGAACGTATGTTGAACTTATTTTGCACCGTATGTAGCGAACCTTGGTAATCGGAGGTACTGTCCAAAGATTAATGTGACGAATGATTGATATGCGGAAGAGCGCTGCGCAATCCTGCTACCGTGATTCCCTACTTATAACTGCTAACGACAATGGCATAGTACTTGCATCCCAAGCATCAGCCTCCTGCGGCAATAGAGGACCCCCCCCCATGCACTCTTCTCTAGCCCAGTCGAGACTAATCGAGCTCAGCTTTTACCGTCATATATCGCCCGACTGGCATTAATCAGTCACCCAGGGCCTTTAATTATCCACGCATGCAAAATTATCCAATGGGATCGACTCCCTTAATTATGGGTGCTGTGCGACTGCCTACCTCCCACGCGGGTCCAATCATTTGACGCTACAATTCTCCAGGTGGGTCCACAATACCCAGTCAAACCCCCACCCCCAAAGTAATTTTTCCCCCTACTTGGACATCCTTAAAATAACGGCATACACAAGTTAATTTGCGCTGCCATGGATAAACAATTAACTACATGTTGAACTTTTGCGCCATACGTAGCTAAATCGTGCTAATCGGAGGTACAGACTCGTCTGTGGAAAATGTCCGCTTTTTATCCCTTCCAACAAATCATTCTCGCACCACAGATTAGCACGGTTGACTACGTCCGGTGCGAAAGAAGTTGAACATACATTCGAATTTACTTTAATCATTCACTCACTCTCCCGAGTTAGTCTCGTGCAAAGTGTCACGCACCGAGTCCGCCATGGTCATCTCTGGATGTCAAGTCTCTGGATGCCAAGTCTCTGGATGTCAAGGGTCTGGATGCCAAGTGTCTGGATGCCAAGTCTCTGGATGTCAAGTGCTCTGGGTGTCAAGTGTCTGGATGTCAAGTGCTCTGGGTGTCAAGTGCCTGGATGTCAAGTGTCTGGATGTCAAGTCTCTGGGTGTCAAGTGTCTGGATGTCAAGTCTCTGGATATTAAGTCTGGATGTCAACTCTCTGGATGCCAAGTCTCTGGATATTAAGTCTGGATACGTCGTCTCTGGATGTCGAGTCTCAGCAGCCGAAACATTTTGCTGCCCTCTTGTGGTTCCTTTCTGCAAATCTTCAATTCCAACGCAAAACCTTGGGTGTTGGACATGTTTAGAGCTGAGATGACTGGCAGACAGCAAATGAATCGACCAGCGTTTGTAACCGACTCCTTGTGATTTACAAATGCCTGGACACACTTTGTGCAAAAAATGGCATCCGCAACTGCATCGTGCCTCTCGATGGCGATCAGCCGATGATGTCACCAAGCCATCCCTATCACCTCCCGCCCAGCGGCACATGTGCGAACAGAGATGATACGTCTTCTTGGTTCTTTCGGTAAAGTCACGTAGAATGGAAATAAAATAATAAAAATAAAACAATAAAATAAAATTCTCACGACGTTTCGGCCACAACACAAGTAGTCTTCCATTCTACATGACTTTACCGAAAAAACCAAGAAGATGAATCCCTGCAGTCACGAAAGCTTTAAATCGAAAAGAGATTATACCCCCCCCCCACCAACTATTTTCGTGTCATTCGATTAGTTGAGTAATTGAACCCGTAATAATCGGTCAACTTAAACAATTGAATCGCCCAACTCTAAATACAACGAGCTTGTTTGCCCGTCCTAGGACGGAAGCTGTAATATTTACGAAAAAATTGAGCAGAGTATAATTGTATCTTGTATAAATTCAATGACAGTGAATCTTGCACAAAAGTATGACATCAAACACTTCACTGCAGTTCACTGTAGCACTGTATACAACTGACCTTCAATTTGTTCAAATTCACTGCTCTGATATTTTATTCTCTTCTGCTTTCGGTCGCTGGAGTTGAAATGCATTGGAATTCGATACAATATCTGGAAAATCACCGAAAAATGTCAATTTTACCACAATGTAGAAGCATACATTACACACACCTTTTGTCTCAAGTGCTGAAGAAATTTTGACTTAAAACTTTCATGACTGCAGGAAATATTATTCTTTGGTTCTTTCGGTAAAGTCACGTAGATATAAAAATAATAATAAAATAAACTGAATAAAAATAATACACAACAAAAATCCACTAATGTAGACTATAGGCTGGTTGTTAATCTGAGTGAGTGTACTGGCAGTCTATAATGTAGACTGTAGCCCGGTTCTTAACCTCGGTGAGCGTACTTGCAGTCTATAATGTAGACTTATTCTTGGTTCTTTCAGTAATTACAATATAATACAAATTAAATAAAAAATATAAATAAAAACAAAAACCACGATGGTTAAGAAGCAGGCTACAGTCTGCATTATAGACTGCCAGTACGCTCACCGAGGTTAAGAACCAGGCTACAGTCTACATTAGGGGATTTTAGTTGTTTATTATTTATATTTTATTGTTTTTTAACCTTATTTTTATTCTTATTTTCCTATCTACGAGACTTTACCGAAAGAACCAAAGAATATGTTGAAGAAATAAATAAAGACACCAACTCCACTTTGTTGCTGTGTATAATTATTTATTAGATTCACTTTCAATAAAGAAAGGTAAAACTTAAAGCGAATTTGCGAAAATAGAAATTTATTTTCCGCTCGACCTTCTTCTGCGTGAGTGTAAAAATCCACCCGCTCATTAATATTAATGATGGGGGGTGCGGCATGTGGAGTGACGTCACGCACGTTACACACATACATTCTTGGCTCATTATAGTAGTAATACTGTACGTTTATATGTACTCAAACTGTAAATGTTGTGGATTCACTCTTCAACACACCGGTGGGCTAAAGTAGTGAATTATTTGTCTTTTGTCAACGTGGCACTTTTTTTGCTGATTGGCCGCGTCGGGTGGTGGAGGGTTACGACACATTTATAAATAAACGCGATCTAACCCAAAAACCTTTATTATGAATAATATTGGTCGCGAAAGCCTACGTGTTAAACTGACTGTACGTTTATTTTCACACAGCTGTATATCATTCAGAAATGTGAATTTTTAGACCGTTGAAACCAGTGGCATTGCAGGGCCTGCGGAAGGTCCTGCTACTTCAGCTCGGCTGCATTTTGCCTTTGTGATGACAAGAACAAGCGAGAGTCAGGGATTTGTCACGCTTCAGCCTTTCTGGTTATTTATTTAATCGACCGCCAGATGAAGAGCTCCCTCGTGCCACGGTCATAAGCATGGGTGTAAAAATAAAAAAAAGGAGCATCCTACAGTTTTGTCAGGCGCAGGCAGACTTGCTGCATACAAGCCAGTCAAGATGTTGAAGAATCTTGACTTAAAGCTTTCGTGACTGCAGAAATTCACATTCTTTGGGTCTTTCGGTAAAAAAAAACACAAGCATTGCGATCGAAACGTCGCGTTTTTGTTGTTATTTTCTTTTAACCTAATCTACGCGAATACCGAAAGACCCAAAGAATATGTTGAAGAATGACACCGGAGCGTTAAAGATTGAACAAGAAGACGGGTCGCAGCCCTGAAAAGACCGCCGCCACCAGCAAGCCTGCAAGCCAGGGCTCCCAGCACCGACGACAGTTGCCGACTTGCACCGCCGCCGGACTTTAGAGGCGCACGCCGCGGTCCGTGTCTGTGGAGTGGTTCTCGTCCAAGCGACGATGACGCCCGCCATCTGCGCTTGCAGATGTTCCGTCCCAGTGGTCCGTGGTCAGGTCCTGCAAGCTGACCTGGTCCTCCTTAGGTGGCCCTGCTGATCTGCATCAGGGGTGGGGAGTTAGATGGGGGGGGGGGGAGAAAGACGTCGGCTAGATTCGACTCAGTGCAGTATCAGCAGCAGCACCAGCATCGATATAATCAATATCAGTAGCGTCACCACCACCGTCATCAGCACTAACACTGACCAAGACTCTTTTCTTAACAGTCAAAGCATCTCCAAATTGCATTTGTTTTCTGATCCGCGCATTCATAATTGTGCGCACCTTTCAGTTTTGGTTCAGTTTCCTTTGCCAATGTCCATCTTTTCAATCGGTGAGAGCGGTTAATATGCTGGCTACCACTCAGACAAGTCTGCTTGAGAATTCCACGGATGTGTGGGTGATCCACCAACCCTTTGCCTCCCAGAGTGCAACACCGCGGGCGCGCGTCGGCACTCCAGCCCCATGACGAGGGCGATGAGGATGATGACAATGGCGATGATGGACTGTGACAACGATAATGCCCGTGTTGGTGACGGCAATAGTGGTGGCGACTATGGCGACGATGTTGTTGATGACAATTACAACTGTAGAGGTGTTAACTACGCGCTGTTGCGTAACCTGCGTTGCCACCAGGGCGGTGCAGCATTACCCCTGGGTACAACGGTTGGGGTCAGTCGAGGTGAAACGGATCGTGGCCAGGGTTTGGTGCGAACCAATCAGACGGTTCCACGTGGGAATGTATGATTGGTTCTACCTGGCCACGAAGGAGTATAAGACGGGTGACCCAACGGACCTCGGGGAGTTCGCTCCCTGCACGAAGACAGAAGACTGGGCTGAAGCCTAGCTAGGACCCTGGACCAGCCTTTCAGCCTTTCAGCCCTTCTAAGGGCTAAGGCTCGGCATACCCAGTGGTCAGGACCCACCGGGCCAGCGGTGGGTCAGATAGCCTCCCCTAGGTCCTAGCCGGAGGACTAGGATAGCGGTAGACGTGTGAGTCCCGCCAAGTCCGGAGGTTGTACCTCCTTAAGTATCAAGGAGGTTAGCGGTAGACGTGTGAGTCCCGCCAGGTACGGAGGCTGTACCTCCCTAGGGTATCGGGTGAGGGGACCGAATATCCCTCTGTGTGTGTTAAGCGTTGCATAAGGAAATAATACAATAAACAGAGTGTGCCTCCTAAAGAAGTCTGCTCGTCCTTACAACACTACACAACGATAGGCGTGATTCCAACAATGGCAATTATTGCAACGATTACTATGACGACGTGACAATGATGTGACGATGACACGCGCAACATTGATGACAATGACGATGAGGATAATGAGCGCGACAATGACGATGGCTGATGAAGATGACAATGACGATGATGACCCGCGACACCAACAAACGATGGCGATTACGACGAGGGCGACAACGAAGGCAATGACGGCGATGTTGAGACACATGCTGATGATGGTGGTGATGACAATGGGAAAGTGATCTTTGGATGAAAAAATAAAAAAGCCTGCCTTCTCCTCCACGCTGACCTTGCATCGTCCCCCAAGTCCATCCCGTCGCATGCGCCGCCTTCCCCGTGGCCCCCGTGGCCACCGCGGCCGTCCGCGCCACCGGGCCACCTCGCGTCGTTCTCCACGTCGCTCAGAGTCTCCGGGAGCTCCGCGCCCCTCGTCTCGGGCAGCAGCAGAGCCGCGAGGCCTCCGACGAAGGCCACGGCGCTGTAGAGGAGGCCCGGCAGCGAGGGCCACGCGTCGGCGAGGAGCGCGGCTAGGGGGGCCACAGTGCCGCCCAGGCGGGCCATGGTGCAGACGTAGCCCAGGCCGTTTTGTCTGTCAGTGGTGGGGCATGAAAGGGACAAGATACAGAGAATGTGTTATGGTGGTGGTTCTGATGATGATGGTGGTTGTGTTGTTGCTAGTGGTGGTTTTGATCATGGTGGTGAAGTTGGTTGTGTTGTTGCTAGTGGTGGTTTTGATGATGGTGGTGAAGTTGGTTGTGTTGTTGCTAGTGGTGGTTTTGACGGTGGTGTTGGTTGTGTTGTTGCTAGTGGTGGTGGTCGTGTTGATGATGGTGTTGGTTGTGTCGTTGCTAGTGGTGGTGGTGTTGCTCCTGGTGGTTTGTGATGGTGTTGGTTGTTGCTTGTGGTGGCTGTGGTTGTTATGCTGGTTGTGGGGAGCGGTAGTGTAGCGGTTTGCGCGCTGCGCTACGAACCCGGCGACTCGAGTTCGAATCCGGCGCACGGCCAATACCAGTGACGATTATCTGAACCGGTCCTGGGCTTCCTCTACGTCGACACAGCCTCAAATGAGTGCCTGGTGTGGTGTGTAATCACCGCTACTGGGGAGACAAAGGCGGCCGGGCGTGGTGCTGACCACCCACACTCTCAAGTGCCGTGCCGGCCTTCATGGTGCTACTGTTAAGGCTATACGGGGGATGGTGTTGTTACGAGTTGGCACAGTCGGGGGCACAGGTGGTGCATCGGCCAGTCATCTCAGTCAGTCGACCCATGGCACCTGCTGGGTCTGCCCCGTGACCTCCTGCCAGCGGGAGTTCGACACTTCACGTGGCCTTAACGTGCACCTAGCCTGGCACAAGCGCCGTGGGGACGTCACCGGCACTTAGTGGCGAATGACGCTTGTTGTTGTTGCATACCTTGTAAACCCATACGGTTTACCCCGTATGGGTTTACAAGGGGAAATTGAGTTTTTTAGGTCCATACTGCGTACAGCCGTTTCAATGCGGGCAAATATATTTTGTCTCTCTGTGTTTCTCCCTTGCGATGGGACTTTGTAGGATGAACGTTGACATTTATAAGGGGCACGGGGTGAGCAATAAGGTCTGAATTGGACTGTAATAAGGTAGGGCACTGTTTAAGGGGGTTGAAAGCTATGTCCTTGTTACGAGTGGTGGTCGTGACAGTGGTGGTTGGTGGTGGTTGTGTTGTTGTTGTTGATGTTTGCTCGTGGCGTTTGTTCGTTTTGGTGGCGAGCACCGCAGGGAAGTGGGGAATATCTCCACGGCGTGCAGATACGCTGTGGTGAAGGCCGCCTCCGCCGTGCCCTTCCCTGCGATGGCCGCCAAGCTCTTCAGCAGTGACATCTCTGCGGGGCGCAAGCACGCGGCGCCCACAGTCAACGTGCGACGTTGGGCCAACGTTGGCTGATCAACGTTGGTCCGACGGCAACCAATAGTTGGCCCAGAATTGCATTGTTTACGATCATCATCAATCACCAGCAGCATCATAATCATCATCATCATCAGAAGCATCATTATCAGTAACAGCATCATTAGCAGCCAAAGCATCAGCAGCATTCCCATCCGACGTGTCAGCAGAAGCATAAGACGTAGCAGCATCATCATCAGCAGCACTGGTCGAAGCAAGAAGCATCATCATTCCCATCTGCAGTTGACATCAGCAGCAACAGCAGTGCGCTCATCACGATCAGCAGCATCATCGCTGTCATTCTGTTTAGCAAGCAGCCTAGTCCACATGTTCATCCGCAGAATCAACAGCTCCCTCATCATAATCATCAGCAGCAACATCATCCGTATTTAAACTGCTACATAAAACCTTCCATCAGATGAGCATCGGCCATACAGTGCTCGGAATTCTAGGGGTAAACGTAGTGCGAGTCGCACGGAGAGACAGCCTGGCACGCCAGGTGCAGGGATTGGATCAACAACTTGATCTGGGGCTGGGAGGGAGAAGAGACCTTGGATCAAGAACTTGGCCAGGGGCCGATTCGGCGTTGGATGAAAGGGCTGCACAAATGGCTGGATCAGGGGCTGGATGATTCAGGGCTGATGTGTGGGTTGGACCAAGGGGCCTGGTCAGGAGCTCCAGTGGCTTCCTAATTCCTTATGATATTAGGAAGCCACTGGAACTATGCACTTTTAAATCTATATTGAAAACTCATTTCTTTATAACCGCTTTGTGTTTCGTTTGTTGTCCTCCCCCCACACCATCAATTAGCATGGTTGGCTACGTACGGTGTGAAAGAAGTTCAACATACAGGAGGCTTGGTCAAAGACTGGTTAAGGTGCTAACTCAAGTGTCTGGTGCAAACGTTCTGCATCATTAAAAAGCTCTAATTCCAATGATGCTGGCTCCTTGAATTGGATTAGGAGCTGGATCAGGAGCTAACTCAAGTGTGATGTGCCAGGGTTCTGGATCAATGAACTGGATTGGTGGCTTGGATCAGGGGCTTGATCGGTAACTCGAGGGTCCTGGAGCATGGGTGCCGCATCAACTAAACCGCAAACAGGGGCCGGTTGAAGTCAAGCGCTGGACGACCGAGCGGCGGCGGTCGTGCGGCTTGCCCGCGGGGACGGAGATGCTGAGTGCAAGCAGGGCCCCCGTGGCGAGCAGCGTGCCCGCCTGGCACGGCCGCCTCCCGATTCGCTCCAGCAGCACGTAGATGATGATCTTGGCCGGCACCTCGATGGCGCCGAACACGAACTGCGTCGTGTACATGTCGAGCCCCACGCCCGACACGTTCAGGCTGATGCCGTAGTAGGTGAGCGTCGTGCAGAACCTGTGTGCCGGGGTCGATTGGGGGGGGGGGGGAGGACGGGCGGCGCGCATGTGCTCGGGTCAAGAAGGTTTTTTCCGCGATGACGGTGGCCACGGTGGCGGCCCCGTCGAATAGGGAAAAAAAAACAACTCAAACAATAAACGTTATCCCAGTGTACGCACTCCTCGCACGCACCCCACACGCACCACACGACGCCCGCGGCCAGGGTGTGCTTGCGCATGCGAGGGGAGCGGAACAGGTGCAGGAAGGTGCTGTTCTGCGTCGTGCGCTCCTTCTCCACCGCGTCCTGCAGGGCCTGGGGGTGGGGGGGAGGGGGGTTGCCGCGGGCAACGTCGTGAGCTACCCTGGACCAACTCATGATCAGCACGGGGGTGGTGGTGGCGGCAAATTTTATGACGATTTGTCATCAGCAAGCCGCGATCTATCCGGCGACGCTCTCGCGAACACGCGAGTGGACACGCGCAGCCTCGCACGCTAACGTACGGATACGCCGATATACGTACAAACACACAGACGTGCACACACGGTTACACCGACGCAGATTGACTCGCACTGTGCACACAGATACACTGACACACACACACAAACGCACGCGCAATGGCACGCCCAATCAGACTTGTCCTTCTCCCGCACCTCCAATTAGCATGGTTGGCTACGTACGGTGCGAAATAAGTTCAACGTACATACTGTGCTGGATGAAGGCTTCCCCAATCCATTGCCACGCACAAGGTCAATCCCTATAATACAATGCCAATCGTCACCAGAGACGAACATGCTTGTGTGATACTGCAGGTCGTGGGTTCGATCCCGACCCTGACGCCTGTATATGTGGAGTTTGCACGTCTCTCTCTCTCTCTCTCCGTGTTCACGTGGATTTTTCTCCGATGCCTCCGGTTTTCCCCTCCACATTTAGAATCAACGTCACGCGTTTAGAGTGTTTGGCTGCTATAGATTTCCACGCGATAAGCCACTTGACTGAGCCATCATTTGTGGCCAGGTCACTTCTGAAAAAGAGCTCCCTTTAGCTCAGTTGGCCCGAACTGGTAAACTGTCCATCACTCATATTCTTTGGTTCTTTCGGTAAAGTCACGTAGATAGCAAAATAATAATAAAGTGAATACAAATTTTTAATAAAAATAAAAATTTTTTTTTATTTACTTTATTATTATTTTTCTATCTACGTGACTTTACCGAAAGAACCAAAGACTGTGAATTCCTGCAGTCAGGAAAGTTTTCAGTCAAATTTTTTGTCCATCACTCCATAAAACACTATCCAGTGATCTATCCACTGCTGGATGAAGGCCGCGGCACAATCGTAGCCACCTCTCACGGCCTCGCGTATAACTACCGCACACGAGCCGATGTTATCGCTTCATCTCCACCAGGGTGACGTCCTCTCAAGCGCAAATCCCCCCCTCTCTTTGGCTGCCACTCCACCATTAGTCTTGACCACCGGCCAAACGTCCCTTACAGCGATCTCTCTCTCTTGATCACGGCCCCGCCGACTTTTCTTAACCACCTATAAAACAGGCAGCGTTCGGCAACAAACATAACAAGAAGAGACATTCTTTGTTTAAAAAAAACCCCTCAATATTTCAAGAGAGCCGCAATACACTGTGGTGAATACGAGACGGTGGGTGGCCCTTCCTGAATAACGTCACGTAGCAGTCCTTAAAAAGAGCCGCAGGTTGGTTTAAACAATGCCTTTCACTTGTGTGCGCACTGGGACTTGTTGGTGGTTGGCGGTATTGCGCCTTTGACCACGCAGCTGCCACGATTGGTTCGCGCACGGGCACTGGGCTCTCGTGCCCAGTGCCGGATGATCCTAGGGGCAAAAATAGCTGCAAATGCTACAGACCCCGCACTTTCAAGGGCCCCGCGCTAAATGCTTTCAAGCTATCAATTCCGGTTGAGTGATTCTGCACTTGCTCTATTACTATAGTACTATACCGCCTTCAACTTGTATGAACGACCGGGTGTTTAAGGTTAGCGATTTGTCGTATGATCTGGCTTATTTGAAGCAAATGAAAAAAATACAATTACTTTACTGTGCAAGTAAAACATGTACGTGTTTTGAATATTTACGTCTTTTTTTAAAAAAAATTAGGACCCCTTTTATAACATCATATGCTACAGGCCCCGCACTAGCTTAATCCGGGACTTTTCGTGCCCCTGAGCCGTGCCACCCACGTGCCTCCACGGTGACCTCGCTCCCAAACTTGGTCCGCCCGTTGATGCGCGCACAGAGGCTCAGGTTGCGATGCGCCTCTCTCGCCCGGCCCCTGACGAGCAACCACCGCGGCGACTCGGGGATGAACCTATCCCGGGAAGGTGGGAGCAAGGTGAAAGGAGAGACAAGGTGGTGGGGAGATGCGACACAGGAGTAGCGCACAAATACAAAGATCCCTCCCCGTGTAGCCTTAACAGACTGTTGAGGCAAGTGCTGTTAGCGAGCACCTATGAAGTGCCGGCGCGGTACACGAGGGGGTGGGTGGCCAGCACCGCGCCCCGCCGCCTTTGTTTCCCTAGTCGCGATGTTTATATACCACACCAGGTACTCATTTGAGACGGAAGTCGACCTATGCGAAGCGCAGAACCGGTTCAGATCGATTTTAGTGGGGGAGAGGGAGCGACAGAAGAAATAGCGGAAGATCGGCGGATGTGTATCATGGCAATACAATTCTTGATAAAAAAAATGTCTAAACATTTGATCAAATGTCGCGACGATCTTTCGCCCCCCTCGTCTTGTGTCTGGACGCATCGACTCAAATGAATTAATCAGTACTCTTGGTTTTCGCAGTATTGTTATCATCATTACGCAAGGCTATCACGAAGGCGCTGTTTCACAGATGAGTATCGCAGTATCGTCTGCAGTAGTGTTACAGAAGACAGCGATAGTGCTATGTGGCCTCATCCAATTACTGTCGGTAAAGCTGGATTTGAAGCTTTCGTGACTGCAGGAATCCATACTCTTTGGTTATTTCGGTAAAGTCACGTAGGTAGAAAAAATAATAGATCACGACGTTTTGATCAGGTGAGACAATCACAGCAGGGAAATAACCAAAGAGTACTGTAGGCAATTTACGAAGTCATTTATTTGAAAAAAGACAAATGTGGACAACCGCGATGCCAGTACCCACGGCCAACCCTTTTTTAAATGTCACGGGATTTTTAACGTCCACTGTGAAACGGACTTTTTTTAAAAAAAAAAATTGTTAATATACCCGCAGTATTAACCAGGGCGGTCGCTGGGGGCGAACCGCAAACCTCTGCCAGAGAGCGGCAAACGCGCAACCACTTGGCCCAATCACCGCCCGAGGGTCGGGCGAGTCCACCCTCCTCGCGGCTGCTCACCCCCCCACCACCCCACCACCTCCAGCCCCTCCCCAACCTCGGCGCTCACCACCAGGTGAGGATGCAGAAGTAAATGGGCGACGTGACCACGAGCTGCAGCTGCTGCCAGCCTCGCAGGAGGTAGGCGAGCAGCCCCAGTGCCATGTTCCCCGTGCTCCACGCGAAGCCGCCCGACGTCCCCGCGAACGTTCGGTGCCCCTGGTCCAGCCACTCCACGCCTACACGCACAGCAACGGCACACGCTCCGAAATGTTCACACCAACTACGCATTCGTGCTGCTGGTGATGTCAATGTTGGTCGTGGTGATGGTGGCGGTAGCTGCTGGTCCAGCCACGTGTCAATGCTGGTCGTGGTGATGGTGGCGGTAGCTGCTGGTCCAGCCACGTGTCAATGCTGGTCGTGGTGATGGTGGCGGTAGCTGCTGGTCCAGCCACGTGTCAATGTTGGTCGTGGTGATGGTGGCGGTAGCTGCTGGTCCAGCCACGTGTCAATGTTGGTCGTGGTGATGGTGGCGGTAGCTGCTGGTCCAGCCACGTGTCAATGTTGGTCGTGGTGATAGTGTCGATGTGGATAGCAGTGGTTGTTGTGGTGGTGGAATTGGTGTTGTGTAAATGTTGATAGTGGTGGTGGTGGTGACAGCCCTTTATGGTGTTGCTGGTGGGGCGCGTGTTGATAGCGATGCCGTTGCTGGTGGCGGCGAGGGAGACGATGGTGTGAAGCACACACTGAGCGACAGGGTGTTGACGATGATGCCGGACAGAGACACCCCCAGGAGGAAGCGCATGGCCGTGAAGGAACTGAAGGACGGCGCCCACGCGGCCGCCGTCCCCGTCACCGCGTTGAGGACGTAGGACCCGAGCAGAGCGTTCCTGCGGCCGTACCTGCCGCCGCCGCCACGGCCCGAACGGGGAGAAGTCAGCGTCACTCGAAGGAGAAACTCGGGAGACTAAGTCCTCGGGAGACTAAGTCCAGAGGTTGACGCCACGAGGGTGGTTAGGCGGCGGGTTGGGGAGGGAAAAGGAGGGGAAGGGAGGGGGGGTATCATCCCCTCCACTTGGTAGACGTAGCATGATGATGAAGACCGCATGTGTTGCGACTGAAACGTCGTGGTTTTTTTTTGCCTTTATTATTTTCTATTTATTTTTATTTTACAAGTTTCATTTTTATCGTTGTTTTTTTTTGGCTTTTATTATTTTCAATTTATTATTTTTATTTAGAAAATTGTATTATTATTTGTTGTTTTCTATCTACGCGACTTTACCGAAAGAACCAAGAATATGAATTAATTCCTGCAGTCAGGGAAGTTTTAAGTCAAAATGTGGACGTAGCAAATCAGGCAGAGTTCGATTCCTGGCCACGGCTAACATCGGTGGAGTGAAATCAGAATTGGTCCCGAATCTTCGCTCACCTTTTCCAGCCCACAGTGGCCAATTGTTGATGATAACGTTCAGAACGCTCGAACGACTCCCATGACGATTGACACGGCACGCGAAGGCCTTCACCCAGCAACCGATTGAGGGGGGGGGGGGGGGGGTGCTGTAGATGTTTTAACGTAATTAATTCAAACAAAAACAGACACGACCAATAACTTTTGCCACCGCCCCGATAGCGCGAAGAGTGGAGTTTTGGAGCAAGGGGTTGAACGATCAAGACAAGATCAGTGGAACTCTTCCACGAGCCCATCTGTGCGGACATTCCGAGCCGTGCCATCGCCACGCCGGCCCGCAGGACCCACCTGGCGCGCCACGCTCCGTTAGCGGGCACCTGTTTGGGGATGTGCGATGGTGCTGCGCTGGATCGCGGTACCTGTCGGAGAGATACCCGAAGACCAAGGACCCCAGCATGACCCCGGCCATGAAGAGGGTCAGGGAGAGGTGGTTCAGCGCCTTGTGCTCACAAACCAGGTCCCACTGTGGGAAAAGGGGGGTGGGGGGGGTGCGGGTGTTGGGAGCTGTGTCACGGTGTGTTGATGCCAGTCATTGCTTCCAAGCGCAGACGCGCGCCGCCCGTGCACGTTACCTGCGTCACCACGGTCTCCGTGAACTGCCGGCGGTCGTACTCCCAGCCGGAAGGACAGGGCACCGCCTCGCTCGAATTGCGCAGCGGGCTCTCAGAAGCGTTCGTCCCCGCGGCCTCGCGGAGGCTGCAAGCGCTCAGGCCCTCCTCGTCGTCGTCTCGCCAAGGGGGCTGCCCGCCCCACGTTTCCGCCGGGCCGCTGCCGTTATCCAGCGGCGCGGCGGTCGGAGAGTCGGGGAGGCGGCAGCGGTGGTGCGGCGTAGCGCTGATGAAGTTGTTGACCATCAGGTGCCAGGGCAGCACGAGGCGCGGCACGAGGAGGAGGACCGTGAGCCACAGCTGGAAGCGGCTGAAGCCCCCCGCGGCGCTCAGAGCCTCTTCGAAGTTCATGGCGATCGAAATGGGCTCTCGTTCGCCTGACACCGGAGCACCCGGGGAGAAAAAAAACAGCCGTGCGAGGGGGATACACTCTATCCCCTGCAGACGGGGCAGGTGGAGTGTCCACACGTTTGCTATATTGGGTCCTGGCAAGCGAAGGGATGGCACCTCGATGCCCACGGGAATGGGGTTTCGCAGCATTTGTGCTATGACCCACCAAACCCAAGCTGCCCCCAGTGCCGGGTGACAGGCCACGTGCAGCATAGCCTATAGCACACGACACGTGGCTGTAAGAGATGATGGCAGATGGCTCTGGTGGCAGAGTGGCAGTCAAAGCAGGGAACACGCCCAATAGAACGAACGACCACCTCGGAAATGGATTTACGAGATCAGCTCATAATGCAGGAGGAGCGAGATGGATCTGTGGCGTCCCAGGGCGACCCGTGTGAGGTGCTGACGTCGTGGGGGGCGAGGCCTTCATCCAGCAGTGGATAGACCGTGGCTGCTGATGATGTGGCGCCCCACAACAAAAGCCCACCGGGGTGTGTTCATGTCTCGCATACTTTTATCTTTGTTTAGAAAACGACAATGTTGCTGTTATTAATATCCAGTACGGTGTGTTTTAGTCAGATTGACCTGATACACGCCAGCTATGTTAATGTTTAATGCATTGGTTTGTGGTGGCTTTGCCGTATAAGTGATTGTTGGATTTTAATCACTCATTAATTAAACATTCTGATTATTTGTGACCCAACACACACACCAGCTGATATGATCAGCTGGTGTGCCAGTGTCTGGGTGGATCGTTAAGTCGCAGGATCGTGGAAGGTGGCGACGGTTTGGGGAGGGAGGCTATCATCTCGCAGTGGATTCTTCATGGATGATGATTATCTAAAAAAAATATATATATACCCCATTAAACGATCATTTATAAAGCACAATCGACCAAACGTCCCAATGCAGAAACTAACGGAAACATATTCTTGAATTCCCCATAGGTAGCTGCTACATACAAGTTCCGTCGGCTTCGTCATGACAAATTGATTCGTCGAATATTATTGATTTCGACAGTTTGTCACGGGCAGACTGGTTCGGAAGCTCCCAGCACGTGGAGCGGAAACGTCGGACATTGTGTCGAACAAACCCAGGCGGCACAAAGAAAGATCATCAACCCACAAACACGTGGCGGCCGGATGGTCCGTGGCACCTCGTGTGCCGCATGCGAAGAGGACCCCAGGGTTTAATTGGGCACTCGAGGCACTTTGCTGCTGCGCGAACTGTTGGGTTGCCAATTTATTTGTTGGCGTCATTACGCCACAAAAGGAGTCCACCAGTGTGAGGTGGAGCGTGGGGTGTTAGACTCTACCGCGCGGGTGGTCACACAACAGACCAGGGCCGAGGCACTAGAAAAGGGTCTGAAGAATGTATTTTAGGTTCAGCCAAGTTAAGGGCGGTGGGGTAGTCGTGGTCACTGCCACATCCTCCAAGAGACAGAGGAGGAACCATGCCTTGCCTTACACTATTACAAACACACACGTAGTCCCTACGCAAAACCCGCCATGCTCACCCACCACACGCCGCACTACTTTCGCTGTACCCTTTGCCCAGGCACAGGAAAACGATCGCCCAGAGGTTTAGGTCCTTCAGGTTCTGGCCATGGTCGCACATACAGGTGCCAAACAGTGGCATGTTTAGAAAACGACAATGTTGCTGTTATTAATATTCAGTACGGTGTGTTTTAGTCAGATTGACCTGATACGCGCCAGCTATGTTAATGTTTAATGCATTGGTTTGTGGTGACTGTTGGATTTTAATCACTCATTAATTAAACATTCTGACTATTTGTGATCATATCAGTTGCGCCCTCTCTTCTCACTTCTCAGGCCCCTGGCTCGTCTCGCCCACCACGCTCCATCAAGTTCTGGCCTGCCGCCAGGCCAGAACTTGGTGTGTGGCTTTCGTGGGCAAATAAATAACCAAACTCGCAGCCAGCTGTTATCTTCTATGAATTGCGCTGTCTGAAATTCTGTTAACTTCGACTTGGTGCACAGCGAGTGGGGGGCTGTGGTGCCACAACAGCGAAGCGCTCCGTCGAAACCGGGGCCGTCGCTGTGCTGCTGCGACCGAGAAGCCACCCGGCTCCCATCACAGCACTTCCCCCCCCACCTAAACACACACACACTCAAGTAGGGCCTCATGGGGAGGGGGGGCACCTGCCTTGAGTTTTAACCCGAGAGGCCCCCTCGTGGGGGTGCTCCACGGTTTCTCAGGGTCAGGGAATTGGCAGGCACCCCCCCCCCCCACCCCCCAGGCCAAATGGCACTGCGGCGCCGTGGCTTAACTTAGAATTAAATGACCACGGCGAACTCACTGAGAACCGCAGTGAGGAGATGCCCAAGACACACACGGACCAGCAGACAGGTGGGGAGCGGGGCAGCGTGGGTTAAGCGTCTCTACCCATGGTGCACCGAGGGTTAGCGTATCTACCCATGATGCACCGCAGATTAACGGCCCTACCCATGATGCACCGCGGATTAACGGCCCGACCCATGATGCACCGCGGATTAACGGCCTGACCCGTGATGCATCGCGGACGGGCGGTGCGAGGGCTTTGAAAGGAGGATAAAAAGAGACACTTTGGGGAAGCACGGGGCCATTTTTTATTTGACTGGAGATCAACAGGAGGGAGGGATCGAGGAGCCGTCACCTGACTGTTACTCGCACGTCCGTGAGACAGGGCAGAGAACAGCCAGATTCTGTTTACAGCATCATCTATCCGCGACCTCCATCGCTGCGAGGTGAGAAGAAACAAAGCGCCTTGACAAAGGAATTAGCATATAATTTAGCATTGAAATGGCTGAGTGATTAGCTTGTGACTGGTCACAGAAATGGCTATGTTAAAGTTAAAGCATACACATCCGCAGAGGCACCCCTTGACAAAGGAATTAGCATAGAATGTAGCATTGAAATAGCTGAGTGATTAGCTTGTAACTGGTCACAGAAATAGCTATTCATAATAAAGGTTTTTGGGTTAGATCGCGTTTATTTATAAATGTGTCGTAACCCTCCACCACCCGACACGGCCAATCAGCAAAAAAAGTGTCACGTTGACAAAAGACAAATAATTCACTACTTTAGCCCACCGGTGTGTTGAAGAGTGAATCCACATTTACAGTTTGAGTACGACGTTTCGCTGGTAAATACATCCAGCATCATCGGGCAATTCGCCAGAATGGTAAAGCCCTCGCTTGCTCCCGGTTTTATATAGAGCAGCAGGGTGACGTCATCACTTAACTCATATCAGGTGCAGTGATTAGAGGCGGAGGGGGGGTATTGTAATTATATAATCGATTAGTAATCAGTCATTGGTTATGATTAGTAATGAGTTGTAGATTAGTAATTCTTTAATCAAAATGTAATGTGTATTATTTAATAATACGCTTCCAGGCCGCACTAAGCCTGTAGCTGTCAGAGCGATTAAAGTTATTCTTGTTCCTCTCAATTTCAATGGATTCTCTAATTAGTCTTTGGCCGTGTCGGGTGGTGGAGGGTTACGACACATTTATAAATAAACGCGATCTAACCCAAAAACCTTTATTATGAATAATATTGGTCGCGAAAGCCTACGTGTTAAACAGAAATAGCTATGTTAAAGTCAGAGCATACACAGGCACCTAGTACAAATCAAACAGGAGAATTTAGCATTGAAATAACTAGGCGAATTTAGCATTGAAATAACTGAGTGATTAGCTAGTGACTGGTCACAGAAATGGCTATGTTGAAGTCAAGGCCTACACATCTGAGCTATTCACAGTAACTGGGTATACAATACAATATATAATGAATACTATATAGTGAACCAATAAAAAACTAAAATATAAATTACCTTAATGTTATCAATAAACTCTATATTCTCCAATCAGCTAAGCTACCAACAATAAGTCGTTATATATCACAATGCTATATGGCGAAAAAATGGGTGGATTCTTACCCTCAACTTTAGCAACACGGATAGCTACGGGCCCCGTTCAGACGGACGAGTTCATCCATGGTCGGAACAGAGGAGGGGGAGAGAGACAGCTGCGAGGCGCTATTATACTCCATGTTGTAAACCATACCATTAACCGTGGTGTGAGAGGTATTAAGAGTCAATGCTGGCGAAAGAGCTGCGGTCTGAAGGTCATCGTAAAATACAATTAATTAAGAACGGAAATGGTTTAATGGTTACTCCGACTACACAATCCGCAAAGCCATCACTCCAGTCATGAAGAAGAATCCTCTTGTGGAGCCACTCAACTCAGCTATTTCAATGCTAAATTCTATGCTAATTCCTTTGTCAAGGGGTGCCTCTGCGGATGTGTATGCTTTAACTTAGCTATTTCAATGCTAAATTCTATGCTAATTCCTTTGTCAAGGGGTGCCTCTGCGGATGTGTATGCTTTAACTTTAACATAACCATTTCTGTGACCAGTCACAAGCTAATCACTCAGCCATTTCAATGCTAAATTATATGCTAATTCCTTTGCCAAGGCGCTTTGTTTCTTCTCACACAGCTTAAAGATCGTGATCTGAGCGTGGCTTTTTCACTCCAGCGCTGTCCCACCAGACAGTCTCGTCCCTTCACCTGATGAAGGCCGCTTGTGTTGTGGCCGAAACGTCGTGAGAATATTATTGCGTTATTTTATTTTATCAATGTATTATTTTATTCTCATTCTACGTGACTTTACCGAAAGAACCAAAGAAGATGAATCCTTGCAGTCACGAAAGCTTTAAATCGAAAGATTACACAATTCAAGCACGCGATGCTGCTGGCGGTGGTTACCGTGTGAGTAGAGCTGCGCCGTGAGGTACACGGGTACCCACGTGCATAATCATACCCCGGTTGTTGCAGTTGTGGTAGTGGTATGAATTTAACGGGGGAGTCGGGGGCCAACGACCCCGACAATTCGGTGATGGTGGGGGACGGTAGCCCCCACAGGGCGATCAGTTGGAAATGTAAACGGGATCTGTAGGAGCAGGCGAGGAGGAGGAATGGTGTGAGTAAAGGTGGGGTGAATCTCACGTATTGTTACATTGAAATGTGCCACCGGGCCCCGTGGCATTGCCATGGCCAGGGGCGTTCGACACCTAAAATAACAAGAAGAGGCATTTTTTTCTAGAATTCCGTAAAAAAAAACCCCATCAATATATCAAGAGCCGCAGTGCGACCGCGTGGTTCCTTAAACAATAACGCCGGTCCTTAAAGAGCCGCATGCGGTTCTGAAGCTGCAGGTTGCCGGCCCTTGGCATGACCAAATCACCCTCGCGCCCCACTCCCCAGCTTTGCCAAAGCGTACTTACCAGCGTGGTGAAGTATGGTCAAACATCCACCATGATCGACAATGAGTGGTGAGGCCTTCATTGATCCAGCGGTAGAAAGGTGTACTTTAAATAAACACACGTGGGTGATGGTGAAGATTGAGTTATGGAAACTTTATAATTGCAAATGTAGTTATCAATGCTGCTTGTGTATTGTTATTACTGGTGATGACCGATGATGGCGAGGTTCGGACTGACAATGACGGGCGCGCGTATTCACCAAGGTGCATTCGCGGACAATCCACCACCCTACCACATCTGGCCCTCCACATACAATAAATTACTCATCCCGTCAGCCACACGGCCGCGTTGGGTTTGCGCGGTTTCTATCGGCACGGATTAAACACGAGGGGACGACTCTGGACCGGTCTCCCTCATTCGGCGTCTCTTCGGCACCGGTGAACTTTTACGTCGCTACTGAAATTCTCCACGAGGACGCGATTACTCCCCATCCTCACCTGCTCGGTTCTCTCCTCTCTCCGGTGTCGCTCCTCGCCTATCTCCCAGTGTGCTTGAGTGTCTCTCTCTCAGTGTCTATCTCCTCCCCCCAGATCTCTTCCCCAGCCCCCTGTACCCGGTCGCACCGTGAAGCACGGGATTGCAGGCGGGCAGGCGGGCGGGCGGGCGGTAGGGGTGTGAACTCCACGTTCAGTAGTGAGAGTGTGACGCGTCTCACGGTCCCGTGACCCCTCTTACTCCAGGCGCCTGACCACGCGGGTTAGGTTCGTGAGTGAGTGATCGTCTTTGTTCTCCGCCTGCACTCCACTGAGAGCAACAGGGAGGTTGGATGGGGGGGGGGGGGGAAGGGGCTGATGCTGCTGCTGGAGAGTCATGGGTGGACGTCCTCTGGACGACTGCATCGATTTTCACCGAATCAAACGCCTATGCGACGAAAGATAAGAACTAACCAAGAAGCACATATAGCAAATGCGTTCTCTGCTGCGATTTCTCGTATGTTGAACTTCTTTTGCACCGTATGTTGAACTTCTTTTGCACCGTATGTAGCCAACCGTGCTAATTGGATGTCCTCTGGTTGTGGCATTCGTGGGGTGAACGTCTTAATTAGTAGACGTTCTCGAGTTAAATGTATGTACATATGACGAGCAGACTTCTTAGGAGGCACACTCTGTTTATTGTATTATTTCCTCGTACAGTCCTTAACACACACAGAGGGATATACGGTCCCCTCACCCGATACCCTAGGGAGGTACAGCCTCCGAACTTGGCGGGACTCACACGTCTACCGCTAACCTCCTTGATACCTAGGGAGATACAGCCTCCGGACTTGGCGGGACTCACACGTCTACCACTATCCTAGTCCTCTGGCTAGGACCTAGAGGAGGCTATCTGACCCACCGCTGGCCCGGTGGGTCCTGACCACTGGGTATGCCGAGCCTTAGCCCTTAGAAGGGCTGGGAGGCTGGTCCAAGGTCATAGCTAGGCTTCAGCCCAGTCTTCTGTCTTCGTGCAGGGAGAGAACTCCCCGAGCTCTGTTGGGTCATCCTTCTTATACTCCTTCGTGGCCAGGTAGAACCAATCATACATTCCCACGTGGAACCGTCTGATTGGTTCTGACCAAACCCTGGCCACGATCCGTTTCACCTCGACTGACCCCAACCGTTGTACGCAGAGGTAATGCTGCACTGCCCTGGTGGCAATGCAGGTTGCGCAACAGTGCGTAGTTAACACCTCTACACATATAACGTATTTTGCACCGTACGTAGCCAATCGTGCTAATCGGAAGTGGTTGTGGTAGTGTGGTGGTAATGGTGCTCATGGAGGTAGTGGAGTGGTGGTGTTTGTGTGGTCCGTCATCTCGGGCATTTAATCCATTACACATGGGTCTGCCCCTTCACCTGACAGCAGTAAGCCTTCTCATAATCCACGTGGTCTCAAAGTGCACCTAGCCTGGCACAGGCGCTGTGGTGACGCGCCACCGCCACTTAAGTGGCGAAAGGAAGCTGTTGCTGCTGCTGCTGTTAGTGTGGGGTTGTTGTTGTTGTGGTAGTTGCTACCACACGAACACCGCCACCCAACCTTTACCGATGTAAAGGACGCCGATAGGCGATCCCTAATAAACAAATGACAACTTGAGTTCAAATGAAGGTGATCGATTCCAATTGGCGTTCTGTCACATGGAGAGCCGGCGTTACACAATCTGCCTGGGGGTGATTTGGGTCTCGTTGTTTCACTCGATGCGAGCTTGGCCAGGAATTGAACTTGGGGGGGCCGTCGGGTTCAGAGCGCATACCGGTCAACTCCTTATCAGTGCCCTACCTTATTACAGACCAACTCACGACGTTATTGGTCACCCCCGTGCCCTTATAAAGCTCAACGTTCATCCTACAAAGTTCCATCACAAGGGAGAAACACAAATAGACATGTTTCGTTAAAACTCAATTTACCTGTACAAGAATACGGGTAAGCCGTATGGCTTACTCGTATTCACTGCCACCCGTGCTTATATAAAATGTGCTTACATCCAGCTTATACACGTAACAAATGTTTGAGCGCTGATTACATATATATTTTAATGAATTAATTGACACGTAGAAGCACTCTTTAAAAGAACTATGTCGATTGTTGGGAAAAAGGCATATATAATCAACCATTGAGTAGTTGCGAAATTAACTTCTGGGGCCATTGCCCGGCTCAAGAGGCTTGGCCAAACGAGGAGTTCCAGGACATTTCTTAATCTCCCAACAACAGCCGCCATTGACCTGCTCTGGCGACGGCATCACCATGGCATTTGTTCCAGGCACTGTGTACTTTGAGGCCATGTGAAGTGTCAAAGCCACTGTGGCAGGACGTCCTGGTACATACCCAAGGCGTGAAAGGTTCAACCAACAGAGATGACTGACAGAGGCACCACGTGCGCTGCCCCACTCCTCCTCCTCGCTGTTTAATCCACCCAGCGCTGCACTCGTTGAGAGCCTCGTTCTTCCGTTGCTGGAGGGCGATTGCCCCCAACTGCCCAGTAGCGTCCTTCACGAGCCTCCTCCACAGAGGCCGATCTCGACGTAGCCGGTATCGGTCATCGGCAAGTTCATTGTACCACACCAGGGCACTCTCCTCTATAGCTCGCTTCTTGCCCATTTAGCCCAACACTACTCCCGATAGCACAAACGCGATTTTAAACGCCGGTGGAAATCCATTACGATAGAAACAAACACAAGCCACAACGATTAATCATTTGGTGCGTGACATCAGTTTATTTTGCGGTGACGTGTCAATCCGTCTGGCCATGCGCAGCAGCATTCACAAATGTCTACGCGTCGCCGTGCACTCAGCGATGGCTCCAGAAAGCTTGGCGCGGGCCAGGCAGCCTTGTCCACCGCATCGCCCCTAGAGGTGTAACAATTTGCTGACGATTTTAAAAGAATTACCGCGATACGGAGTCGCGATTCCATTCAAGAACAGAGCTTTTAAAAATATCCATTTGCGGATGTTATTAACATTTCCGTAAATGTAGCGCTCTCTAGTGGCTGCAGGGGTCAGACGTCGGTTCTTGCAAACGCGATTCGATGGAATCTTCGCGAGATTAACAATCGATGCCGACTGATGCGTCGTTACACCTCCAATGGGTGGCACGGGTGAAAAGCAGGTAACCTGTGAATAAGACGTACATTGTTTTTTTTATATGTATTAACTTGTAATTTCCCGTACGAGAAAGTAAACGTATTTAATGTAATATAGTCCCCATCATGCGTGAAAATGTTTAAGTAAACCTCCAATACAGCTTATTCCTTGCACACACATGTACGACCACACCAACTCCGGATTGCTCATCAATCACGGATTCACCTCCCAATGTTAAGGATTTGCCAAATGATCGCCTTTGTCCAATGCGCGACCGAAAACAAATTCACTCGAAGCGACGTTCCCAAGGAGGTATCAAAAATCAAAAAGACCAACAACAACATAAAAAACTAGATATCGTTTGCTCACAAATGTTGCAATCTACCAAATCATAATTTTCGGCCTCGGCAAGACGAGACGCGGAGAAGTGAGCAGCGCGGCGGGGCACTGGAGGGCAGTGAAGAGCAGGGGACTTTTGAAAGGCAGGAGACTCTTGAAGGGCAGGGGACTTTTGAGGGTGGATCGGCAGAAGGATCGGCAGAAGGCACGGCAAGGAGTGACGAGTCCCTGGCGGCGTGAACAGTCCGTGAGCCAGAGCAGATATTGGTACCCACCTAAGGTAGCAAAAAATATATCGTCCCAATTTACTCACACGGCCAGTACGAGTAAACTTACTGGATAAGCCACTCATTTCTGATGGTTACCGTGTAATCCGCTGTTAATGGTGACAGAGATAAATCGGCGCCGCAAAAAGTTTATGCCACCTCTCAGGTGGTGCGAGACAAGTGGAATAACAGGTTCGGGGCCCATGGACTACGACTACAAGGGGCTGTGACTGAGGCAACGGCATGGCACCCGCCCATGATCGAACCCAAGCACGTTGAACACAGCCTTCGCGCGATCAACTCCAACGGGCAGTCGTCTCCGCCGACCCGAGGGTGGAAGTAAAACACCGTCGTCGCAATCACCGTAATTTCCTGTTAGGCTAACGTAAAACGTTTCAACGTGCCGGCTAGCATCTGCATTTTCTGTCAGACGTGCGTGAGCGTATGCAAAAGTTTGGTGATAAATTTCTGTCGGATTCTCGTAAGCCATTGCCAAATAAAATGGCCAATCTCATCAAAGTGATGTTTGTGTCATTTTTTTATAATTTGTAGTTTATCGTTTATATTCTATCTCATTTTTTTTATCATTCATCTTGTTTGCACCAACTCATTTGAATCATCCGTCTCGTTGGTACTGAACGATTGCTCCAAAAACCAACGTGAGACAAACAAGGGCAGCACCACCAAGCTTCCATTATTTCCGTGTATAGCGGTGATCCTGTTGAGGCCGTCCTCACCAATGGCTGAAGGCCGCCGAACAGAGATGAGCACCACCCAAACGTGTGCCTGAATGGCGAGAGACGCTTTTGACCCGAATAGACCTGCATTTGTATGCATGTTGAACCTTTTTCCCACCGTACGTAGCCAACCGCGCTCATCAGAGGTGTGGGGGAAGGACAACAAACTAAACACAAAAAAGCTGTCAGTAGGGACCCGATGAGACTAAAGGTGTCAAAAAAATCTACCGGCCATTTTCTCTCCTGGACCGTAGTTTGGAGACGTTTTCAGTGACGCGACAAACGATTAAGAGACCCCAACCGTCTGTGCGGTCACGGATCAGCGAGAAAAGAAATGGCGTTCGACACGATCGGAAGTCAGAAGCTCGCTAAAGAAATAACAAGAACACCCCGAGAGGAAATGGAACTGTCCATAGCGAGTTATACAGAGTGCACACATGGAGATGTTATAGGATCTACCACTGGGCCTTCATGATAGCTGAGAGGATATATATTTTTTTGACAACATTAATTTGTTGCTTGACTTAAAAAATACACGTTTATATTTCTATATTTTCTTTGAGGAGAGATTCTTGCTTGAGCTTTTGAGTGATGACACTCCACCGGACACCGCCGCACCCCCCCCCCCCGCCCCCCCATCTCTGCGATCCTTTGTCTTCTCAAGCGAACATGGTCACGTGCAGGAACTGTGGAGACAAATGCGACGTCATGTGGTCATGTGTTACAGACGCTGCTACTACGACTGCGACAACTACTGCTGGTGGAGGTGGTAGATGTGGCGGTGGCAATTGCATGTTGCGGAGTGGTGGTGTCGCGGCTAGCACGCTGCGCTACGAACCCGGTGACCCCAATTCGGTTTCCGCTCATGACCAACACCAGTGACGAATAGCTGAATTGGTACCTGGAACTCCCCTAGGTCGACTCGGCCTCAAATGAGCACCTGGTGTGGTGTGTAAACATCGCCACTGGGGAGACAAAGGCGGTCGGGCGTGGTGTGCTGGCCATTTAACCCTCTTTGTTGTGCCGGCCTTCATAGGTGCTCGCTAACAGCACTTTCCCCAATAGTCTGTTAAGGCTATATGGGGGATCTTTGTCTGTGGTAGCAATTGCCCCAAGGGTTTCCAACTTTGAGGCACAAATAACAAGGACATATCGCAGCAAAGAGAATCTCGCTATACTGCAAGTGCATCGTCTGCATTTACCGCGCAACGGACAAAAATTGTGAAAGGACTCGCCGTGTCCTGCCCCAATACCATTACCTGCGGGAGGTTCAGATTGATCTTCTCGTTACCATCCTTCTCCAAGGCTTGGAATGTACCTGCACGTGGGAGGGAGGGCGGAGGACGTATGTTGGGATAGGAGAAGAGAGGGAGGGGAGACATACGGATTAACCAAAGCGATCGGCTCAATGACCTCTCCACTAGAATCATGACCACCACTGACACCAACATGCTTTTTGTGTTTAGTTTGTTGTCCTTCCCACGCACCTCCGATTAGCACGGTTGGCTACGTACGGTGCGAACGAAGTTCAACATACACGTACATACAACATCCACACCACCACCTGGGCCCTCTGCCGTGACCCCCCCCACAACACTTATTATCGTGCTCCCAAGTTATCGTGCTCCCAAGTCATGGGGGTGAGCATGGTGGAGGTGGGAGGTGGCGCGTTCGGGGGGTGACGACTGGGGGAGGTGTGGGTGACTCACGGAACATGGTCTCCAGGCGGACGAGGCAGCACACGTAGTTGTCAAAGTCGATGGTGATGCCGTTCTCGCCGTCCGCGTAGCGGGTCGTGACGATCTGGTTCAGCTTCTCGTTCAGGCGGAATCCTGGGGCGGCGAGCGAGATCGGGGACCAGGAGAGGGTGGGATGGTGGGGGTTGGGTGGCAGAACGGGTGAGTGTGTGTGCTCATGTGCGTATGTGCTCGTGAGCATGTGTGTGTGTGCGCACGTGTGTGTATGTGCGCGTGTGTGCGCGTGTGTGGGCGTGCACACCTGCTGCTTCGAGCGCCAATCGCATCTCCATGGAGTTCATGGTTCCCGTGCTGTCTGTGTCGTACTCGAGGAAGATTTGCTATGTACACAAACGCACATACACGCACGCAAGAAAGCACACACAGGGGCGTTATTCCAATATAGCAGGACCCTCCTGAAAGGGATTTTCGAGACTCAGTAAAACCTTTGGTCGGTAATTAAAGGTCGTTGTTATTATTATATTATCATAGCCCATGATCAGATTGCTCATTATGTTTCTCATCTTAGACCTCGGAAGCTAGGTGCAGTTGAGCCTGGAAAGTGCTTGGCCGGGAGGCCACGGTGTGCAAAAGGCAAAGGCGTTGTGGCCAACTGTGAGCTGTAGAGGGTAGTCGTGGGTCGTTGTGGGCATTGCAGCAAAATCCGATTGTTGCTCTGCACTCCCTTCGAATGACGTGTCCATTGTCTCACAATGGGCCGCAAGGTGTGGGGGAAACACTCATCCAGCAGTGGATTGGCAAAAAAAACCGTGCTACGCACGTGTGTCGTTAAAACGAGCGTCGCACCTGCCAATTCTTGATCTTCTTCCACAGGAAGTTGAACTCCTTCACGCCAAGCTTAGCAGTGCCGTCTTTCTGCAGCGATTGTGAAGGAACAAACGTCTCCCAACACACCACGCACAGAGATGGCATCGTGTGGAATTGGGGGGGCGGGTTGTAGGCGGACACAAATCAATTGGGGGGGCCATTCCTTTCACAAGTACGTGGGTGTAGGTAGCAGCTCTCCGACGTGTTTTCGGGTTGCACCGCGCGCTGTTCGGCACGGTCTCCGAAAGCTTCGCTCCACACACGTTGGGAGCTTCTTCAGAAACCGAAGCTTTCCCCCAAGGCGATGATTACGTTGCTGTGTCTGTATGTGTCCGCACACTCGCATGCGCCAAGTGATTTGGCAAAGGATCGCATGTTGCCCCCGTGGTCGCGTCGATTTTTAAGCGAGCATTTGACTGCTATGCATTTCCACAAAATAAGCCACATCGTTGAGCGATGTGGCTTATTTTGAAAAATACCTACATAGCTCAGTGGGCCTTACCGGGTAGAATACAAAAGAGTTTAGTTTGAGTACTGGCTGGTGGCAGGATGTGTGCGTGCGACATGCCATGTGATGCTAACCTGACAACCTCATTACACGTGTCGCGCCAGATCTAACAGGCGCTCACTAACACCGCTCTTCTCTGTTGGTCGACAAGGATACGTCCATAAGTGAGACCATGCTGCGGCACGCTTCCAGCCCAAAGCCATCCGTCTTCAGGTTGGCATCTATTGCACGGATACACACACACACATTCACACACACGTACACACACACATTCACACATTCACACACGCGTACACACACGTACACAACAACAACAACAACAACCGCCATTCGCCACTAAGTCGCGGTGACGTCACCACGACGCTTGTGCCAGGCTATGTGCACCCTGAGGCCACGTGAAGTGTCGAACGCCCGCTGGCAGGAGGTCACGGAGCAGACCCAGGTGCCACGGGTCGACTGACTGAGACGACTGGCTGATGCACAACCTGTGCCCCCTACTGTGCCAACCTGCTGTGCTTTAGCCACCCGGCGCTCCGCTCGTTGTTGTGAGCGTCGCTCCTCCGCCCTCCATTGTGGTTGGAGGGCGACTGCCTCCAACTGCCCAGTAGCGTCCATCACGAGCCTCCTCCACAGAGGCCAATATTGACACCGCTGGTACCAGTCATCAGCAAGTCCACTCAGCTCCACGTCCTCCTGTACCACATCACTCCATCTCTTCTCTAGCCCGTGCCGCGCCCGTTTAGCCCCCTCGATCCGGCCGAACAAAAGCTGTTTCGGCATGCGGTGGCTCGGCATGCGGGCTACATGACCCAGCCAATGCAGTCTTGCCTGCCGGAGGAGCTCACCGATGGGACCTTGCCCAGATCTTTCTAAGATTTGAAAGCTCCTCACACAATCCAGCCTGGTTAAACCCAGGATGGATCGTAGGCAGGCTAGCCTAAATGTTTCTAACCGGCGAAGATGTTCCATTAGGGGGGTCCACGTTTCGCAAGCGTAGAGAAGGGAGGGAATGACCGTGGCCGAGAAGACCTGAAGCTTAGTGCGGAGCGACAAACCAGGTAGCTTCCACACAGCGTTACGCAACCGATGAAAAGATATTGCCGCTCGACTGATTCGGAGTGAGACCTCTGCTGTTAAACTGGAGCCGGTCATAAGCACACTGCCCAGGTATGGGAAACTCTCCACTCTCTCCACAACTGCCCCATCACCGATTGGGAGTTGTGGGGGTGGAGTGTCCGATGGTACAAAATACCCAGGCAGGTGCTTAGTTTTGGTGGGGCTGATGGTAAGGCCCCATCTCTTAGTGGCACGCTCTAGTCTCAGCAACAGCGTCTCCAACTCCTCCTCTGAATGAGCAGCTATTACCAAATCATCGGCATACATAACGTGGTTGAGCAATAGGGAGCCATCCCTTGACCGCACCCGGGCATCCATCAACCTCCCATTATATCTGTACCAAATGGAGATTCCCCCGGTACAGCTATTGAAGGCTTCACGAACTACGTGGTCAAAATAGATGTTAAATAATGTGGGAGCCAGAGGACATCCCTGTCGCACCCCAAGGTGTACAGAGAATGGCTCTGACTCCCGGCCACGTAGTTTTACCCGGGCCCGCTCACCATCATGAAGGTCCTTAATAATCGTGAGCAGAGGGTCAGGGACTCCAAAAGCACGACGAACAACCCAGAGCCCAGGCCTATTGATGGTATCATAGGCCTTGACCAGGTCAATAAAGCAGAGATGTAGGTCTTGCTGGAATTCCCTACACCTCTGCTGTAGCAGACGGACAGAAAATATGGCATCTGTGCAGGACTGCCCTTGCCTGAAACCACATTGGGGCTCCGCAAGCCTCTCCTCAGCGTGCCTGGCAAGGCGATGTTGAATAATCCTTGCCAGGACCTTTCCCGGCACACTGAGGAGTTAGATGCCCCTGTAGTTGTTACAGTCTGTGCGGTCCCCATTCTTAAAGAGGGGGACCACCAGGGCATCCTTCCAATCCTGCGGAACCCGTCCAGTGGTCCAGACTGTTGTTATGATGTCATATAGGGCAGTCTGTGCACACACGCCACCCTCCTGCAGCATTTTGCTTGGGAGATCATCTCTACCCAGTGCTTTTCCTGGTCTCAGACTCCAGATCGCCTTCAGAACTTCCTCAACAGATGGCACCTCAGCCAGCCACTCACAGGGGGTGACTTCTTCCAATATTTGAGGCACCGCAGCCTCAGCAGGGTCATCCCCACTTTTTGCCAAGATGTTTTCCTGGCTGAGGGATTTTCCCTCCCCCAAGACCTCACAGAAATGCTCAGCAAATCTGCAAACCTGTTCCTGGGGGTCAGAGATTGGATCATCGTTTTTTCCCCAAATGATAGTAATAGGTGTGGCGCTGCAGGTTACTTTTTTGATGGAGTTAAATAGAGATTTGTGATTGCGGGCCACTGAGGCAGACTCCATCTCCTCAGCAACCCGTGACCACCACCCATCCTTGCAGCGCCTCACGGCTCTCCGAACCTCCGAGCGAAGGCTGCGGTAAGCCTCCTCATTCTCTGACGTGGGATTCTGTAGCCGGTGACAGTGGGCCTGTCGCTTTTTCTCAACCATCTTGAACACCTCCTCTGTCAGCCAGGGTCTCTGGGGAGGTCTGGACCATGTACCCAAAGCAGCCATTGCAGCTGCATGAGTCACAGTCCTAAACCTCGCCCATTTTCCCTCGACATCAGGAGGAGTGGGGGACGATGCCAACCCCAGCTGCACGCGATGATGAAATTCTCGCTTGCAACTTTCATCAGATAACTGAGACCAGGCCACTTTAGGTTGGAATGGGGTCCTGGGTGTACACCCACCACCGGAGTGGAAGAATGGCAGGCGCATCTTACAGATGACTAGTCGATGGTCAGAGGGCAGATCAGCTCCACGGTAGGTCCTGGTGTCAAGGACATGGGCTTGCATCCGCTGGTCCGTCACTATGTAGTCCAGCAGATGTTATTGCTTGGACCTGGCATGCATCCATGATGTTGTGTGGATGCGCCGATGCCGGAACAGCGTGTTGGTAATTACAAGCCCATGGGCTGCACAAAAATCCAGCAGCCTCCTACCATTGTTATTGAGCTGATCTGGCCCATGCCCTCCAATCACTCCAGACCAGGTGCCAGCATCATGACCAACTCGGGCATTGAAGTCACCCAACAAGATGACTCTATCCCGAGGGGCCACTTTAGCCAGCACCTGTGACAGGAGGTCATAGAAGGCATCTGACTCATCGGCTTTGCCTGCATCCCTCCACGGATGTTCGTCTTCGGTGAGGGCATAAGTAACCACGACCACCACTCCTCGCCTCCGGTTGATGGGAAGGCGAGCCCAAAGTAGCCTGGGGCTTACAGCTTCCCACACCTCACTGCCACACTCCCACGCCCCCTTCATTCTTTTGTTCAAAAGAAGAGCCACACCCTGTTGTTTGACAGTCTGCTGCCCCGAGTAGAGCACTGTCCACCCCTCATGGTGGCAGGAGCCAGAACCGGTCCACCGGACCTCCTGAATTCCACAGAAATCCAGGCGGTACCGGTCCAGCTCCCAACAGAGGAGTGGCAGCCTCTCCTCCGCAGTGAGCGTTCTAACATTCCACGTGGCCACACGAAGTGGCTTTTCGTTGTTTCTGGAGGAGCCCCGAGGGTAGAGATTCAATCTCCTGGCTCCGCCAATTGGGGTTTGGCAGGAGACGTCATAGACGCCTGTCCCCCCGGGGCCTCCGGCACAAGCTTATTAGTTATATATTTAAGTTGTAGTTTCGTGGTAATTTTTTGAAGGTGGAGGGGTTACCAGCCCCTCGCACCCGTCCAGAGCCCTCGTTTAGCCACTGTGGTGGTCACAGATGCCATGAGGGGAGAGGCCAATCGGAATTGGCCCTCCCCCCACAGCACTGTCCACGACAGAGTTGCCTGTCCAGCACCGCGAGGTATACACACACTCACACACACGTACACACACACATTCACACACACGTACACACACATTCACACACTTGTACACACACATACACACATTCACACACGCGTACACACACACACACATTCACACGCGCGTACACACACATACACACATTCACACGCGCGTACACACACACACATTCAAACACGCGTACCACACACACACATTCACACACACGTACACACACATTCACACACACATACACATGTACACATACACACATTCACACACACGTACACACACACACGTAAACACACATTCACACACACACGTACACACACATACACACACGTACACACACATTCATACACACACACACACGTACACACATTCACACACACGTACACACATTCACACACACGTACACACGCACACATTCACACACGCGTACACGTACACACACACGTAAACACACATTCACACACACGTACAAAAAAAAAGATCCCCCATATAGCCTTAACAGACTGTAGGGGCAAGTGCTGTTAGCGAGCACCTATGAAGGCCGGAATGGTACACGAGGGGGTGGGTGGCCAGCACCACGCCCGACCGCCTTATTCTCCCCAGTGGAAATGTTTTTATCCACCGCACCAGGTACTCATTTGAGGCTGAGTCGACCTAGGGGAGGCCCAGGACCGGTTCAAATAATCGTCACTGGTGTTGGCCGTGAGCGGGAATCGAACCCGGTGCGCCAGGTTCATAGCGCAGCGCGCTAACCGCTACACTACCGCTTCCCACGTACACACACACATACACACACATATACACACACACATTCACATACACACATTCACACATGCGTACAAAACAAAGATCCCCCACATAGCCTTAACAGACTGTAGGGGCAAGTGCTGTTAGCGAGCGCCTATGAAGGCCAGCACAGCACACGAGGGAGTGGGTGGCCAGCACCACGCTGAGTCGACCTTGGGGAGGCCCATGACCCGTTCAGATAATCATCACTGGTGTTGGCCATGAGCGGGAATCAAACTCGCACACGCAAGCAGGCACCCAACACACACATGCAGGTGCGAGCGCGCAGGTGCCCGCGTTTGCGTCACTCACGCTTGGACACGACACGGTTGAGGATGCTCTGCAGCTCCTTGGCGCTGATCTCCTGGTCCTGCAGACGGGGAATCGAGAGGCAGGGAGGAGACGATTACCATTAAAGAGACACACACGCACACACGGGTGCATCACGCGTCCTCCCGCCTCATTGCAGGCACCTCGCCGCGCTTCTTTTGTGCACGAGGGCACGGGCGGAACATGAAGCGAAAAGGGATGAGGGCCGGCTACTGAGGGCTAACAACAGATTGGCAACTCAAGGTGGGAATGTACCCGAGGGATGTCCACCGTGGAGGGCTTTCATTCGGCAGTGGATAAAATCGTGGTTGATGATGATGAATACAATGCACAAGAACACACAACAAAGATTGAAGGGCATGTAAGTTGTCCGGTTGCCATCATGTGGTGACTCACCTCCCCTGCCAGCCGGTCGAACAGCTTGTAGAAGCCTGGATCAATGGGCTCATCATCGGGCATGCTCTACACACGCACGCACGTACACACATACGTAAACATGTGTGCACATAGATCCTCCCCCCCGACCCTTCCCCTACTCTTCTGGCAAGTGCTGTTAGTGGGCATCTAAATCAGGACCGTTTGTATTCCACAGAAGTGTGAGCGGTGTCGTCGCCTTGCGCGACCTTGCTGCGCGACCCCGACCTTGACGCCAAGAGAACCGCTCATCATCTCAAGAGCAGCGCTCGCTGTCGGCTTAGGCCATCGGCTTCGTAAACATCTAACGGTTAAGCGGGTTCGACGCTTCACACACACAAACTTTATATATATTGAGTGGGCCGGGGGTAATTTATCTTGTACATTTCAGCCTGGTTGAGTATCACAGACACCTTGATTTTTACTTTAAAAAAACGAGAATCAAGGTGTACCATTGTCAAGGCTGACCCAAGGCCTCGCCTAGTTTAGCTACCGCCTGAAAGCACGTGGGCCGTCGGCATCCAGGATTGAGTAAATTTGTTTTAACATGACCTACAAACGCAACACTGCAGTCCATCATGGTTGCTCTACTCATACGACCTGGGCGCCAGTATCGACGCAACGGGGCCTCTGATGTCACCCAGCACTAGCTGACGCCTGTGCCGCTTGCACCTCCAATTAGCACGGTTGGCTACATACGGTGCAAAATAAGTTCAACATACTGTACATACACACAACTGTGGGCAGGTGGAAGAAGTGACAAAAAGACCAAACCGATTTGTCAGACGGGGGCGACTGTTTGATCGTTGCTATTTACATTCGTTTTTAATTCTCCATCCATAGTGCTGAGCATTGACGAGCACTGACCAAACGTGAAAAAGAGAAACGTATGATGAATGTCATTGGTGCGGGAACGTACTGGGGGGATTGTGATGTCCACTTCATTGTCCATCGGCCTGAAAAACACATGGAGCCCCGCGTTATCAACCATGGCACGGGTCGGCACTCCCCGGACGTACGGTCACGCGCACACATGTTGCGCACATGCAGGTGCGACTGCACGTGCGTCCATGTTCATGCCCCTATGTGTGTTTGTGCACGTGAGAACACGTGTAGATGCAGGTGTGGAGGAGGCTTGTGAAAGACGCTACTGGGCAGATGGAGGCAGCCACCCTCCGACAAGATGAGGGTGGAGGAGCAAGACTCACAACCACGAGTGGAGCTAAATGCAGCAAGTTTCCGCAGTAAGTTGGCGCAGTAGGGAGCACATGTGCATCTGCCAGCCAGCTAAGGTAACCCATGGCACCTGGGTATGTCCTGTGACCTGCCGGCGTGCCTTCAACACTTCACAAAATATATGTACTCTGCGTGGGGAGCAGTGGCGCACTGGTTAGCACACTACAACCATGGTTCAGAACGTTGAGATCAACCTGAGTTTAATTGCTGGCACATTGATCCAAGAACCAGTGCTGGGCCTCCCTGAGCGTCAATTGAGCCTTAAATTAGTACCTGGTGTGGTGTGCCAACATCAACACTGGGGAGACCAAGGTGGCTGACCATGGTTCTGGCAACAACCAATACCAATACCCACCATTCGCCACTTTGTGGCGGTGACGTCACCACGGCGCCTGTGCCAGGCCAGGTACACTTTGAGGCCACGTGAAGTGTCGAAGGCTCACTGACCAACCACCCCCTTAGTGTGCTGCGCCGGCCTTAAAAACCCTCGCTTAATAACACTTGCTCCAACAGTCCGGTAAAGACTGTGTGTGCACGTGTGTGTGTGTGCACGTGTGTGTGCACGTGTGTGTGTGCACGTGTGTGTATGCACACGTGCGCAGACAACGACGGGAATGTGCAGAGCGGTAGAACGCACGCCAAGTCAGCGTTTGAGAGGTGTTTCTGGGTCAGAAAGTTTTTTTTGATACTCAGATGATTAATGGGGGAACGTGAATCGGCGTTCACAAGACAGGGATCTAGCAAGAGCGAGCCACTAAATCTGTCACTACGGAACTCGGTGATGCATGACCACACGACCGCATTGCATGGTGCAATCCACGGGGCACATGGAAGATCACTGGGGTTTGCATGCGTGTGCACGCGCACGTACGTGTGACTGCGTGTGCGCCCGTTTGCATTTGTGCCTGTGTAGTGTATGCGTGCGCATGCATGTGTATGTGTGTGTGCGTGCGCATTGCCGTTTGTGTGTATGCATGCGTGTACATGTATTCGTCCGTGTGCAAGTGTGTTTGCATCCATGGTTAGCGCACCTTGAAGAAAAAAAACGGCTATCCCATGTTCTATTACTGGCTAAAATCTGTGAATCGGCCCGGAGCCTCTCCTAGGCTGACTCAGCCCGAAATGAGTACCTAGTGCTGTGTGTGTACGAGGACAAGTGGCTAGGCGTGGCTCTGGCCCCACCCACTCCGTCGTGTGCCATTGCAATCTTAACTGGGATCTCTCTGTCTTTGTCATTGTGTGCATGTGAGTGGGGGTGCGTGTGTGTGCGTGTGCACGCGTGGGTGTGCATGTGTCAGCAATGATTCATTGCTGCAGTCAACTTAATTTAATGTTGATTTATTTCATCCTTTCGGTGAACTCGGTCCCCCCCCCCCCTCTTGCCAATGCGACTGTGCGGGTCTCTTTCATTTTCACCTGGTGAAATAAATAAATTTGAAACTTGTAAAACTGGTCGGTGCATCACTGTGCCTAGGTGTGGGTGTTCGTGCACGACTGTGAGCTCGTTCCCGAGTGTGTGAACATCCATCGTGGGGGATTCTTGTATTTGTGTACGTGCACGTGTGTGTGCGCTCACTAGCAGCACTTGCCACAACAGTTTGTTAAAGGCTATAAGGGGAATCTTTGTCTTTGTGTACGTGCGTGTGGGTGAGTGTGGGGAGGTGTTGCTTGTTGTGGTTCGCGCACTGCGCATATTTGTACCGGTACTGGGCCTCCCCTCGGTCGACTCAGCCTGGTACGTTGCGCAAACATCAATACCGGCGAAACAAAGGCAGGCCGGGCGTAGTGCCGGCAAGCCATCCCCTCTCTTGTGCCGTGCCGACCTTTACATAGCCTTGTAACTGCCCCGACAGGCAGTCAAAAGCTACACGGGGGAATCTTTATCTCTCCCACCCCCCCCCACCACCCCCACACGTACACGGTGACGCTCTGCTTCTCGGAGAAGATGCGCAGAATGAAGTCGGCCTCCTGGTTGGGCTCGAAGGTGGAGGGCACGACAATGTACTCGCCCGCCGGCAGGGTGAAGCGCTGCGACACCTCGCGCAGGTTGATGAACACCTCGGAGCGAGCCTTGGACGAGTGGTACTGGAAGTAATCCTTCTTCAGCTTCACCTGCGGCTGGCCCACGAACTGCGCGTGCCGCACGACGGGGGGTGGGATGGAGGTAGAGCGAAAGGGTTAACACAATCGTCACTGTCGTCGTCACCGGTCGTCGTCTCCATCCACCGCCGGATAGAGACGATGTCTTCCTACCATCGGGAGGCAGGACGTCTCGTGGCGGGCCACCATTTTTAAGGGGGCCCGAGTAATCGACGCCAAAACAAGAAGTCTATTACACTCCCCCCCCCCCCACCCCCCCGATGGAAGATCCCCACAGCACTGTGGTATGTCGAGACTTCCACAGCCCGCCTACGTATGGTTCAGAAACGCTGTTGTACCCATAGTGGCTTATCTTTCCCCCGTATCCTGAAACCACCGCCACGTTGTACCGGGCATGTGTGCCTAACACAACGTAAAAACATTTAAAATATCTATATTATTATTCTTATTATCATAAAAATCTGACGATGCTCCCTTGCCCCACGCTGGCCCTGCACGTCGGCCGTGACGGAGCGGCCCAGGCCGGGCTGCCGGGCCCCACTCGGCGGGCGGCGGCCGTGGCCTCGCGGGGGCGGGCGCGAGGGGGCGCTGCGAGGGACCGAGTCCAGAGTCGTACCTGCTCTGGGACCTGCACGCGCGCGCAAAACAGAGGGGATGGGGGCCCGACAGATACGGGGTAATTAGAGGCAAAGCGATCGCATTGATTGTTCATCGCGTACTTTTGTGTTGGCGTCCCGTCACGAACTTAACTCAATCTCAAACCCATCAACGTCGTCAGCAGCCATTGTCTGTGCGCTCGTAGACGAAAGGCTCTCCTTCGGCCGCTATTCCCTCAACGGTTTTGTCAACCGGACATCGTCCCATCGAGCGACGCTCGTCTTTGTCGTTTTCCACCGAATTATGCTGCGACGGCACGACCGGCGTCCTGTCGTGAGACCAAGACACTTTTCAGCGAGCAGTTCATCACCCTGCCCTGTGCCAGAGAACAGGCCCAGGGGATGGCGTTATGGAACTACTTATGAAGCCAATTCAGGTCGGCCTCCTTTGTTCCCTCCGCTTGATGTTTTAACCTTGCCCTCCGCTGTCATTGCACTGCCCATTACTGCGGTCGTCAATTAACTGGGAGCCGGGAAACGATCATTTATTCATCAACAACCTCTGTGGGCTTCAACTAAACACGTGACGGGCGACGTTTCGGGCAATGGTTCCCTCCTTTGTTCGGAGCACATGGGTGAGGGCGGCGCGCTGTCGAAGGAATGTGCCGAGTGTGCCGCTTATTTATTCGTGCCCATGCACCAAGCGGCATGGCGTACGAACGGACAAGGGGAGAGGGGCGCGGGGGGGGGGCCGTGCCTCGTAGATGGCGTAGCCCACGGTGAGCACGTCGCCACCCTGGCGCCGCTTCTTGCGCCGCTCCTTCTGCATGAGCGCCACGATGAACGTGCAGCCGGCCTCGTTATCGTGGGGGTCGTCGTCCTCCTCGTCCAAACGCACGCGGAACTGCGGGTTCGTCCAGAAGGTGTCTACGCACGGGGGGGGGGGGGGCACGCACACGCGCAGAGTTACGATACGCGCACGTGCGAACGGACTCAGGCGCGCACACACGCGACGTTATTCCGACACACGCACAAAGACAAAGATCCACCGTGTAGCCTTGAGAGGACTGTTGGGGCTAGTGCCGCCCGCGAGCCCCTAATTAGGCAGACACGGCGCTCGAGGGGGTGGCGTGACCAGCACCACGCTCGGCCACCTTTGTCTCGCCAGTGCTGATGTTCACACGCTGCAACTAGGTAATATTTTAAAGCCGAGTCAACGTAGGGGAGGGCTCAGGACCAGTTTCTTTTATGAGCCGGACCAAGGTCGGCATCGTTCTCCACCCACGTAGCGCGCAGACACACGTGCGCCCTTCATCATAGTGCATGGATGAAGGCGGCGTTGTTGACGAATGTGCTGAATTATTGTAGTTTGTGATGTCGCGACTTTGTTTCGTCTGACATCAGTGCCGGGTGGCCACCAATCCCCACCCACGCAGGGCGCGCACGGTACGGCTGAGGGCACATTTGACACTTGCAGTAGAGTAGGTTTCTTTAACAATGGAATCTTGGTCACGTGGTGCAAGTGAATGGAAAGAAAAATAAAGCTTCTGCCAAAAATTACAAGCTCGGGAAGTTGGGAGATCATAATAAAGCTTACATCTACTGTGTCGCGTTAAATCGAGAGGCATGGGATTATTACAGATAATTCCTCATTGTTATATATATCAACAAAAACACATGTAAATGTTTATAATCGCATATATGGCTTGCAGTGGTGGCTAACGTGCCACGCAATAATCCCGGCCATGGCTAACATCAGTGGTGAGTACTATCCATACCGGACCTGGGCCTCCCCTAAGTCAACTCAGCTTAAAATTAGTAACTTGTGTGGTTGTGCAATACAGCATTAGCACGAGGAAGACAGTGGCCTGGTTTCAGGCTACACTACCCCATGTGCACAGCTATGGCGTTCGGAGGTGCTTGCTAACGATACTTGCCCCAAGAGCCTCATGGAGGCTTATACAGGGAAGCTTTGTCTTTGTGTATCAACTGTGCGAGTGTGCGTGCGAGGCTGTCTCACATAGACATGCGCACTCGTCCCCAACCCACACACCGGCCAGCGTGATGAAGCAGAACAGAAGCCTCGTGGGCTCACCCACGTGACTCATGAGCGGAAATTTTTCCGGCACTACACTGACAACATTTTGAAAATCACGATTATGTGATCATTAATAAATTGGCTCGTGTGCAGCTGCGAAGCGCATGATTATACAGCAGCATCGTGTGGGTGGCTTGGCAAGACATTCATCCAGCAGTGGATTGATCCTGGTGATTATTATTTTAGTTATTGGATTCTATGTAATGTATTGTTTGCTGTTGATGGAGGCAGTGGCTTATTTTCAACGTGGCCACTTAGGAGCTTTGGAATCGAGTGTTGTTTAAATTAGACGGACAGCTCATTTAATTGGAACTGCTTTTTGTGTTTAGTTTATTGTCCTTCCCCGCAACTACAATTAGCAGAGTTGGCTACGTACGGTGCAGAATAATTTCAACGTACGCACATACAAATAGAGGTAGGCCAAACCCAAACGTTTAAGTTCTGTTCCAAACTTCTTTTAGCGGTCATAGCAAGCGTAAGAACATTTTCAATGCTAGTTTTCTTTTCATTTGTAAAATTGCACAAGATTTAAAAAGAAACAAAAAAACCTGCTCCAGTGTAATGAGCAGAGAGAAGTAAACGAGAGGTCACTGAAAAGTGTGCGGAGTTCATTAGGAAAACAAACACGATCCGTTTTAAAAACACATCACCCCCCACCCGAGCCCAACAGGATCCAGTTTCTATCTCTCACGCAAGCATGCACGCACACAACCACCCCACTCATACACACAGCAAAGCCAAAGGGTCCCAATATAGCCTACGTATGTCATTGTGTAGGCTACATGGGGTATCTTTGTTAGCACGACAAACAAAGCGGGTAGGTGTGTGGCAAGCACCATGCCCGGCCGTCTTTGCCTCCCCAGGTGTTGATATTTACACGCAGCACCAGTTACTCCTTTAAGCCTGCATCAACCCAGAGGTGGGACTGAGTAATGGTTCAAATAATCACCAAAGGGAATCACCTGAAAGGGTCTTGGGTAAATAAAGGACACCATTTATATTATTATTTTAACAATGACACAAGTGGTGGGACGGGACGGGGCCTTTGTGTTAGCCCTGAGGAATGAATCCCACCTAAGAGGTTCTTGCGACAACTCTGGCTCATTCATTTGCTATGTAAGCCGGCTACGTATTCAAGGGTAAACGGAGGGTATTGACTGTTGCGAAACCGCATTGGCCAAATGTCCCAATGTAGCACGAAACCGCCTGAAAAACGAGTCCTGAGACTCAGCGGGGCTGCTCGGAAGTTCCGCATTCCGGGCTGCTGCTTGAATGGATGATGCTGTGTTGGATCAAACTATTGCATGGTGTTTGTTGTTATTATCCTGTGGACTTTCGCTGATGTCAGGAGCTTAAGAGTTAATTGTTGCCTCAACTGGATTGTGTTGCTTTCACCTCCCCCCTTGATCGTGTTCGTTTTGTGTCTATGTGCCGTTTTCACACGAATGTTTGATCTTCATGTGGTTTGTGATCATCTTTGGTTCATTCGGTAAAGTCACGTAGATCGAAAATTAATAGATCACGACGTTTCGATCGCAACACAAGCAACCGTCATCAGGTGAAACAAACACAGCAGGAGAACTGCTGACGTAGGAGGTTTGTGATGTTCAGTGTGTTTAAGATGAAATTTCCGTGAACGACGCCATGTAAAATTATTATTATTCCTATTAAAATGAGCCAGTCAAACATCCCAATGTGGTAGAACCCTCTTTGGAATGAGTCTTGAGACTCAGAGACACTTCTCCCAGATAAACAAAGTAAACTAAACAATTTTTATTTTACCAGGTAAGGCCCACTTAGCTATATCGCTCTTTCAACAAAGTGGCTTATCACGTGGAAATTTATAGGAGCCAAATACTCCAAATGCAGCATGGGACCTCCTTTGCCAGTACCAAAATATGAAAATAGGTTTTCCCCTTTTTTTCTGGCAACAAAACAGGTGTTAAGATGTTAAAACACCAAACTGAAACCTTTAACAAGGAATCATGTCTGCATTAACCACAATACTTGTGGTCAGAATGCAAAAAAAACACTGATAATATGATGCATTGTCTTTGAAACTGATTGGTCCACACCAGAGACAGCTTTCTTTTGAGCCGAGTCTCAAAACGGTGTTAGACCATGCATTTTTCTAAATGTGGAGCGAAAAACTGGAGGACCCGGAGGACAGAGAAACACACAAACTCAAAATATGCAGTAGGCGTCAGCATCGGGATCGAACCCACAACCTCCTCCATACCAGGTGAGGTTGTTAACATCTCGCCACCGCAAAGATGCACTGAAATTAAAGCGACGCCGCTTGCCCGTCGCTGGTCACGCCGCGCCACACCGCGCCACACCGCGCCACACCGCGCCACACCGCGCCGTGCCACAACGCGCGTGCGCCCAGGGCGCGTGTACGCCCGGGACGCCAGCGCTCACCAATGAAGTTGCGGCAGCCACCGGCGCTGCACCCACGCACCCAGCTGCCCTCGAAGTTGTTGGCGCTCCAGTGGCCCAGCGAGTCGTCGTCCAGCGCGTCCGGAGTCAGGTTACAGATCTCCAGACGCGAGAACTGGCGCAGGAAGTCCTCGAAGGACATCCTGGGGGTGTGCGCACAAGCGCGCGCACATGACGGAGGGGGGAGGCTCGTATCGTTTGCGCGCGAGGCGTTACGTAACGCTTCAATCCAACGTTGGCGGCGTTTTTTTTTTATTTTTTGCGTTTCATCGCCCCACAAATGGCCGCACAATGAACTTAACGAATTCACCTCTTTCATTTACGTAATGCGGCTACTCTCAACGATAGCCGATTACTTTCCGGACAGCGAGATTTGTGGCTTATCAAGTTTTTCCCAATCACAAAGTTGGACTCTTACCAGAACTCTCCGTCCTCCTGGCTGACCTGCAGGCGGCCCCTGTCCTCGTCGCTCACGTAACCCCACTGGGGCGCGCTGCAAAACGCGGACACGCAAAAAACGCGCGTAAGCACACGGGCGCACGCACACGGGCACGCACACCAACACGAGCACGTACACACGCACATACGTACAAACACCAACAACAACGACGGCCGCCATTCGCCACTAAATGACGGTGATATCACCGCAGCGGCGCTTGTGCCAAGTTAGGCGCACCCTGAAGCCACACGAAGTAGAAAAGGGCTCGCTAGTAGGAGGTTATTTGACAGGGCAAGGTAATTATGAGATGACTGGCAGGTATAACCCGTGCTCCTGAATGTGCCAACCTGCTGCGTTGCGTTGTCTCTGTGCTGTACATACACACAAGCACGCACAATTAAATACATTTATAAAACCACTTTGAGACGAGCATTCACTTGCCAACGTGGCTCATTTCGGCGCAGGAGGTACCCACCTTCCAGGGTCTTGCTAAATCAGCAGAAATCCGACTCCTTTTGTTGGAAAACCATTTGAATGAAGCGACATTACATTTTAACAATGAGTAATTTCGGGAGTTCATTTTTGCGCAACTATGCGTGTGTGTGTGTGTGTGCATGGGGAGCGATAGTGTAGCGGTTAGCGCGCTGCGCTATGAACCTGGCGACCCGGGTTCGATTCCCGCTCACGGTCAACACCAGTGACGATTATCTGAACCGGTCCCGGGCCTCCCCTAGGTCGACTCAGCCTCAAATGAGTACCTGGTGCGGTGTGTAAACATTGCCACTAGGGAGATAAAGGCGGTCGGGCGTGGTGTTGGCCACCCACCTCCTCGTGTACCGTTCCGGCCTTCATAGGTGCTCGCTAACAGCACTTGCCCCTACAGTCTGTTAAGGCTATATGGGGGATATTTGTTTTGTGCATGGGTTTATGTGTGTAGCTGTGCGTATGTATGTATTGCAAGCACTGTGGTGACATCACTGCCACTTAGCAGCCAATGGTGGCTGTTGTTGTTGTTGTGTTTGTTATTTGAGAAAGAGCGGGGATGGGGCATAGAGTTAGGGTTAGACAATTGGAATCGGGAGGATTAGAGTTAGGGTTAGGGATGGACATTGGGGATGAGTTGGGGTTAGGGATGGAGAGTGGGGATGAGTTAGGGTTAGAGATGAGGAGCGGGGGGTGAGCGAAGGAGCCTCACTTGTCGCTCCAGGCTCCGGTCCACTCCACCTGGCCCCAGGGGTTGCGAATTCGCACCAACCGCACCATCTGGCCCTGGTAGTCGACCTGGAGTGCAACACGGAGCTCAGATAGGCGAACGGTGCCAGCGTGCACTCGCACGTATATTCAAGCGTGTACACACACACACGCGTACATGCGTGCGCATCATGGGGAGTGGTGGCACCTGGTATTTGGTCTGAAATAATTCATTTCCTGAGTAATCCCCAATGCCCCCCTTTGTTCTGGCGCTTTGAGATGATTTGCAAGGGACATGCGGTATGAATATTAAACCATGATGATAATGATATTGACAAGTATGCAAGCCCATTCGAGTACAATTCATCCCGCTTGTGATTGAACGACTCGTTGCAATTTCCAGTCGTGATGCGATTCAACAAACACGTATTTATATTGCCACGGTGGTGAATGTCAGCCGCTCACAAAATCCGCAGGAATCAACCCAATCCAAAGACGTATAACGACGTAAATGAATAAAGGACACTGTCAATCCTCGGTCGCACAAATCGGTGGGTGTATTGCGAGCGTAGGAATCGCCGTTTAGATGCAACAAATCGACGCGCGTGGACACGTGGATACGAGCACACGTGGGCTTACCTCCGTCGTGCCGGTCAGGGAGTACGCATGCCCCTTGACGAGCTTGCGGGAGGTGATCGCCTCCGAGTCCGCCTGGCTCGTGATCTGTTCAGTACACGCGCGCGTGCACACACACACACACACCACCATCATCATCATCATCATTAGAAGCAGCCATTAACTATTCACTGCTGGATGAAGGCTTTTCCAAGGCTGTCGCTATCTCTCATGCTCGTTGCAATGTAACATTGCATCTAGCTCCTACGCAGCGTAGGTGCAAGTGTGCATGCGCGAGTCAATGCATCTGTGTATAATGTTAAGTTTTATGCATCATAGTTAGACCTCACAATCGCTGACAAACCAGACAAGCAGGAAGGCAGCCAGGCGGTGAAGCCAGCACCAACTGAGTCTGTGTATGTATGTTGAACTTCTTTCGCACCGTACGTAGCCAACCATGCTTAATCGGGGGTGAGGGGGAAGGACAAGTCTGAGTGGGCGTGTCATTGCATGTGCGTGTGTGTTTGTGTCAGCGTATCTGTTCACAGGTGCTCGCTAGCAGCACTTGCCCCAACAGTCTGCTACGTCTATACGGGGGATCTTTGTCTTTCTACGTATATCAGCGTGCGAGGTCGCGCGTGTCCACTCGCGTGTCCGTGCGTGCGTCGCCGTTACGTTGATGGAGCAGCCCATGAGCGAGCCGCGCAGCGTCGCCTGCTGCAGCATCCTCCAGAGGTTGCTCGGGGGTTTGTTGAGCTCGATGCTCTCCGCCACACCCCCCGTGAAGTCCTCAAACCCCTCCGTGGTGCTGCCCCCAGACAGGGCCTCGTAGGAGCCCTGCAGCCTTGGTGGGAGGGAGTTGGGGCGGGGGGAAGTTGGGGGGCATGGTCCAGACATCGTTGATACGAACACAGCTTTGACAATTAGTCGACCGAAAATCCCAATCGACCATTATTTTTGTGGTCGATTATTCTGGGCCGTTTAAATATGGCAGCCCGGACGCACATCCTGCTTCTAGAAAGCGGGAAACCCTGTCCCACCATCAGGACATTCTATGATAAAAAAACCGATCTGTACAACGTGATGCCTGGCACTGCGATACTACCTAGCATTGAATCTTCCCTCCTGGGCCTTAAACTCCAAGGTATCAACCAGGCACCAACACACCGTTCTCCAAGCATTGAACATTTCGGTTAGAAAGTCCATCCTGAGCTCCTGTAAGAATCATAGGGCCCCCTCATTCACACTCTGGGATAACTCCCTAATCGCCCGAGCAGCTTTAAAACACCCGAGTCTGAAACTGAGGAATAGGGAAGGGGAGTTCACCCAGATCTGCGGCCCCCTTGTGCATGCCACTCCAAACACCCCGAGTTTACTTGATTGAACTTGAAATGAGACGGACTCCCACCCCCATTCCCCCTCTTCCCCCCTTTCTTCCCCGAAGAAAATGGATCTGACGCACGTACCACATGAGCCGCCTATCCCGCTATGCACCACTCACCTGTCGCGGAAGTTGTACACCCCCAGCCCCCGTGGTTGGATAAATAAAAATAAGTGGGAAACCTCCAACAAGCCACGCTCATCGTGACGTGGCTGGTAATGCTGATGACATCACCAAGCCTTGCTAGGGGATAATCGCTGTCGATATTATCTGTTGCCGGTTTCGTAGCACAGTGCGCTAGGCTAACCACTACGCTAGTGCTCCAAACGAAACACATACACACACACACGTGTACATGCACGCGCACAGAGCTCACACTCACGTCAGTTCTCACGCTCCCACACGCACAGAGGCGCTGTTCAAGGCCGCGTTGCTTGACACAGCCGCATTTATTCATCACTCGCACGACGCGCACGCCTCGGTTTGTACACAAGAGACTGTTTGTGCGATGCATGCATAATGGACCCAACGGACGCACGGAGCAATGGACAAATGGATAGATAGACGAATAAACAAATGGTTGAATGGATGGATGGGCAGATAAAAGGACAGTTGGAGTGAAAAGTGGATGGATTGAAGGATTGACAAACTGATAAACAAATGGCTGTATGGATGGATGAGTAGATACATGAATGTACAAATTGATTGGCAGATTGACAGACAAATGAAAAGACACATGGACGGATGGATGATTGGGCAGATGGACAAAATCACCGTTAGGATTCTAGGATTAATAAACTGGTGAATTGATAGATCTACATCTGTTCCAACAGCTGGAAGATCACACAGGTGGAATCAATGACAGACTGATGGACGTATGAGTGGATTGATCCATGGGTGACCTCACGGATGAACAGACGGACGGACTCATAAGAGGTTTTTTGGGTTAAATCACGTAAATATAAATGTTTCGTTAAACCCTCCACCACCCGACACAGCCAGTTAGTAAGGTGTCATGTAAACAAAACGTGCAAATTAGTTACTAGTTCAGCACACGGGTGTGTTGGACATTTCACCGGTAATTACAACCAGTCTCATCAGGTGACAGCCAGAGTTGTCGCCTGATGAGGCGATAGCCAAGCATTGTCGCCGGACGGACTCACTTGGCGTAGGCCTTCTCAAGCAGGGCGCTCCAGAACTCGTTGCCTTCGGCCGAGTGGACGAACACGAGCTCCCCGGCCTTCACGGGCAGGCGGTCGTCGATGACCACATCCACCCACTCCCCGAACTGCCAGAACTGCAGCGCACGGCCACGACACGTGCACACACACACACATCACGAGACGACCGTTGAATCTCCAGCGCATACAGATTCGAGAATCCATTGCTCAAATGTGCAATCTCATGGCCACTTCACAGACCAAGCCTACAATACCTGGTATGCCCAGGTAGTCCCCTAACTTCGTACTAATCAATGTGAACCCCCCTGCTTGGGATCGGACAAGATTGGGCACATTAAGAGTGATTTGGTCGCTAGAGCCAAAAGAAAAGTAGGTGGACACTGTAATCAGACTACACGTAAGAGTTGTATTTTTCTGAAAAACATTTCAACACTGGAAAGACTTGGTCACGGCCAGTAAGATGGAATTTCCACCACTCGTTTCAGGGCTACAAACAAGAGGCATGTGCTGGCCCATTCTCATTTGAGTAGCATACGACATTCACCATTGTTATCCACGACCACGTGGCCCATTCCATCATCCCGCTGTGGACAATCAAATATGTACCGCTGTGTGAAGAAATCAACAGTGGTAGTGCTATGGACAGACTCGCCCCCCTCATAGGAATGCGGAATATCCACCACTGGCTCAGGGCCGTCAATAAGAGATGCGCACCAATGATTCAATGCTCATTTGAGAGGCAAATTGCTCTGACTCTGAGCCAGAGCCTAACAATGCCTCATAGTGAAAGTCTCGTGCAAAATATAATTATTGAACCATAGCTAATTATTGAAGCATAGCTAGCAGCATGTTACCATTTAAATACCGAATATTCCTGTTAACACCTTGCAGACAACCATTCTTCATACCCGATCTCAGATTCATGCCGATTGAAATGCAGAATATTTTTTCGTTTGTACATTCCCCACCAATTCACTTTCAAATGTGCTAACGCCATCACACAACGAAACAACGAATCCACGAGGACAATCTCACAGTGCCAGTGCAGTGCGCCCCGAATGTCAGTGAACAGTGCACAGAAGAGCTCTTCCACGGTTGTCACCTCCCCAACAATCCTCCAGGTGTTGCACTCGTACATCCACTCTGCTGTGGGATTGTCGCGTGACGATCAAAACTGAAATTTGGTGCAGAAACAAACTTGCAGCCATTGGTTGACCACGCTGAGATTGGCAAAAACCTCGCTACCGCAGCTGGTGTAGTCACGAGCAGCTGCCTAAATTCGAACCCAGGATGTCACTGCCAGTACTCGCTCAGCGCTCTTGATAATTTGCGCACGCAGACGATTTACACAAGTACCGTGAGCGTAACAATGGGGATTCAATAGAAGGATTCGTCACTCCCAGCGTTATGAGCAAGAGTTGCTTTTAAATTTATCTGTTCTGGGTAGGGTTTTCTTAAGCCGGCGCAAAATGTGAATCTGACTCAACTCCAACACGGCTCCATTTTTGTTCCGTCCTGCCACACCCCCCCCCAACTCACCCCTTAAACCCATCCTGCCACACCCCCCCCCCAACTCATCCCCCAGGGAAACCTTCACAAACCACACATTCCTACACACACAAATATGCACACATGCATGGACACACACACAGAGTATATATACACACACACAAAAAGAGACAAAGATACCCCGTATAGCCTTAACAGACTGTTGGGGCAAGTGCTGTTAGCGAGTAGCACATATGAAGGCCGGCACGGCACACGAGAGGGTGGGTGGCCAACACCACGCCTGGCCGCCTTTGTCTCGATGTTTACACACCAGGTACTCATTTGAGGCCGAGTCGACCTTGGGGAGGCCAGGAATGGTTTGGAAAATCACCACTTAGATGTTAGCCGTGGCCAGGAATGTAACTCTAGCAGCAAGTAGCGCAGTGTTAAGTGCACCGTGCCACCACACGTACAAAAACCATAATGACAAAAATCCCCACATACACACACACATAAGCACGCACATACATACACTCCCAGTGCAAGAACCCATCCTTCACGTACACCCTGCACTCAGATTCAAGTCTTCTTTCGCACCTTACGTAGCCAAACGTCCGAGACTCCACCAGTGCAGCGCTGCTCAATGGGCCGTCCCTCCTCCTCCCTTATGGGCAGTCCTCGACTTACAAACTAACGGGTTACGTTCCTGAGACCCGTTCCTAAGTTGATTTGGCCGGCCGTATCTTTGAATTCAATGTTTAATTGTACATGCGGTCAGTGTTGGAAAATGTGTCATGGTTCACCAAAAAAAAAAATGGAAGCATTGTTAAACTAATGAACAACAGGAAATATTGTACATATTAATGTAATACTGGAATAAATAAAGTAACATGAGGAAAAAAAGTCAGTTTTATTTTCACTTACAATGAGCCCTGATGCTGGCTTGCTTGTCGGAAGCGGTGCTGGGACTCATTGCATCGCACGGAGGATCACTCCGCCAGACAAAATAGTTCCGCGGTTTGGTTTGCGAGTACGACCGAACGTTCGCAAGTCGGATGGTTAAAAACAATAGCAACATCTTGCGGCGGTTCGTTCGCGAGTGTGGATGTCGGACGTTCGTATCTCGGGCACTGCTTGTACTGGAACTTCCTCCCTCGCCTGTTTGCCCGCATTGCCGGCTCCATCGCCGCTTTCCAGTCCAGACTCGCAAACTCCTTCTTCACCTCCGCCTGGGACTGCCTGCCTCCCTGCCCAGAGGCCTTTACTCCATTCTTACTCCACTGCTGGTCTCTCCTCAACTTGTCCCACATCTCCCTGCTCACCCTTCAGCTTTGTCCCCTCCTACCTTTACAGCATAGCTGGGAATCCCATGGCCAGTAGGCCAGTAACTTGTGTTGTGATAATAACAATAACATAAATTGAGTGCATTTGACAATCTTACTATTCCTAGGGGGCGACATTGCAATGTAGTTTGACCCATTTAAGGAATTTACAAGAAATTTTTCCCAATTTCGAAAAAACGCACCCATGACCCATGGCCACATGAGGTTTCTTCGTTTAGATCACGTAAATATAAATGTGCCGTTGAACCTGCCACCACCCGACACAGCCACGAGTCACGAATTGGCAGGTTTTGTTTAAGTGACAACCCTTCCTAATTGGCTGTGTCGGGTGGTGGCGGGTTTAACGAGACATTTATATTTACGTGATCTAAAACAAAAAACCTCCATTATGGATAATATTGGTTGTGAAAGCCTTACTACATATTAAACTGATAATTCTTAATTCCTGCAAGCATCTTAGTTGTGTGTGTCTATTTCGGAACTCCTATATCAGCGCATTAGTGAGAAAATCGCAGGCGCAGGAAAAGTGAACCCTAATTATTTTTCACATTGTTATGGATTATGCTAAGAGACAGGTGTGTGGCCAGCTAAAGGTATTGGGAAGTCCTATTCAGCCCTCATTAGCGGAAAGGTTCGCCAATCCCGCTATAATACAAATCGAGATCTTTGAAAAGAAACACAAGATAAATATTTTGTTGTGCATAAAGTACAAAGTATGTCGACGGTGTGTGCAGTTATTTATCCAGTGAAGCCCCAGGGTTTCTTACGATCGTCTGATACATATCGCATGAAGCTACAACATCTTAATTGGGGCGGAGCGCTGTTGGCACAGCGGTTTTGCATGCCACGCTACAAACAAGCTGACCTGATGACGGCCAACCTCGGCTCGAGTCATTCGTGCCACTTCACGATCCCCCACGCCCATGCATAATTCACATCGCGCAGGCAAGTACAGGTAATCACAAATGCATAAATGGAGATGAATGTCGCACGCATGACGTAGTAACCACCGCTGTAGCCTGGCACAAGGTGAAGGCCGCTTGTGTTGTGGCCGAAACGTCGTGAGAATATTATTGTGTTATTTTATTTTATCAATTTATTATTTTATTCTCATTCTACGTGACTTTACCGAAAGAACCAAAGAAGGTCAAGATGACCCACATCAGGTCGCCTTCCCTCTGGCGGGTTCCATCTTGCACAACATGAGCAACAGATGCCCCGTGTCATCATTAACTCATGGGGCCATATTGCGATGATCTGCCGCTCAGTACACACATCTAGATGTGGAACTAGGCAGAGGTTCAGTGGCGTAGCCATCTCTTGTTCAGGCGGTGCAACGATACTGGAGGGGACCAGTCACCGGGCTGCGATGACGGCGAGAGGCAGACAGAGGGCCCCATATTATACCGTGAACCTGGGCACGTGCCGACCACAGTACACTACTGACACACGTGCTCAATTCATTTCGGCTCTGTTTGTAAAAAATGTATTGATTTAAACGCTCGCCTGCCTCGACTGATAAGAAGGCTATACTATACGAATGATAGCAATACCGGTGATGGTGAATGGAACGGAAAACAAAACTAAACATTGTTCTGGAACTGAAATTATTGGAATGAAACAACAATTGCAGAGTACAGTAAAACCTTGGATTGCGAGCATAATTCGTTCCGGAAACGTGTTTGTAATCCAAGCACTCGTATATCAAAGCACTCGTATATCAGTTGTGATCACGTGACGCTCGGCAGACAAAGCATGTACGTACTGCTCGTATTGCAAGACTTCGCTCGTTTATCAAATTAATATTTATTTAAAAATTTCTGCTCGTCTTGCAAAACACTCGCAGACCAAGTTACTCGCAATCCAAGGTTTTACTGTAATTGCAGACATCTTTGGAACGAAAAATGAAATGGACTATTTTTTTTCCTCACTCGGTTTGACTCTTTGGAACCTTCTAAAACGTTCTAAAACAATATGCGTACATTCCAAAAATACTGATTGTTGTCATCCCATGTGCTTGACATGAGTATGGAATTTTTTGTTAAATAAATAAATCACGCTATTCTCGCCGCTGGAGCCCTGAGGGTGAAGGTTGCGGCACAAACAGCGACGTCACCTGGAAGTGGAAGATGCCGGCGTAGCCATCCTCGAAGGTTTGGCCCACGGGGACCACGCGCGCCATGAGCTTCTCGCTGAGCGTGAGCGAGGCGATGGCAGCGAGCAGCCAGCAATCGCCTGCATGGACACACACGCGCACACACGTACACAGATGCACACGCGCACGCACGTATACGGATGCACACACGCACGCACGTACACGGATTCACACACGCACACACGTACACGGATGCACGCACGCACACACAGGCATAAGGACATCACGGGGCAAAACACGCGCGCGTGTGTATACCTGCGTACCCACGCGTGCGTTCACACACACTACACACACAAGTGTAGACCAGGGTTGCCGCGATATCATTTTAACAACAGGAATGCGACAAACATGTTCACGAGGCGACAATTATCATATCAGTTTCCCGTAACTTTGAAATTGCATATTTCATTTAACCGTATAGTTTATGTGCTTTGCTATGTATTCTTCCGGTAAGAATAACAATTTACTTATGAGTTCTTCAACTGCAGTTCACTCACATGCCTGCCGACGGCCTTCTAATCGTTGCAACTTTACAACCCACCGTGGTTATGACGTAAGCACATGCTGCCAGTAACACAACAAATATTCAATACTGTACTGACACAACATGATGACCAGGCTGTAAATTATTCCAGAAAAAAACTTTTCAAAGCTCGAATTTAATTGGTAAATTATGTCTATTTAGACATTTTAATGACTGTCTTACTGCACATACATTTTGGCACAAAAAATAATAATTTTGATCACAAGATGACAATATTTGACAAAGTTGATGATGCAAATGATCGTGGTCTTTATATATTATCGTGATAGCTCCAAGTGTCCCCATATCGTGACAAAACCTAGTACATATTATTGGGTCTTTCGGTAAAGTCATGTAGATAGGTTCAAAGAAAATAACGAACGCTTGTGTTGCGATCGAAACGTCGTGTATTTTTGTTATTTTCTCTGAACCTATCTACATGACGTGTATTGATGTGTATACGCCCAAGCAAGCCTGTGGTCACGTGTCTGGTGAAAGCCGAAATTTCAGCTGTTAGGAACCAGTTTGTCTCAGATTAAGGGAGCGAAACTTACACAAAATGTAGACGAAATGAACGTGTCACAGCATCATGTGATACATTGTACCGGTTGCCAGTGCAATTTAGAATTCATCATCATTATTATTAGCACTATTCGTTTTATCGAAAGGTGCCTTCATCATTCACCTTATATAACATAAGAACACAAAACAGGTAAAGGTATTATAAGATTGCTCAATCTCCTCTGCTGGCCCCATAGCCCGGAACTCTCTTCTCCACCAGCTGACTGTGCTGTTGAATCCCTTCCCCTGTTGAAGTCCAGGCTCAAAACTTTTTTCCCCGTGTATGATTGACTGCTTCTTTCTCTCTACTGTAAATGTTTTCTTCTTCTTTTGGCAGTTGTGCTAAGCTGCCGTGGCCCCATGTGGTGAGAGAAGGTGCCCCCACAATGCTGTTTGTTGGAAATGCCAGGCTTCTGACCCAGCGATGATGGAAGGAGAGGCGATACATGTTCAAAATATGCCCACCTCGTCTGTACAGCGTCTAGAAATGTGGTCGCATTTGGACGTCATATAAATATAAATTGTATCGTCTTATAGGTTCGATTTTTTTTTTTACGAGAGGTGGCTCGGGGTTAGGGGAGGGGGGGGTGTCACAGCACAGATCAGAAACGTTGGCAATGACAATGACAAATGGAACGAAATCAGGAAATCCACAAATTTGTACGGACAGATGCTTGCTTGGAATTATGCTCAGGGACTGACAAAGGAAAACATGGAACAGCGAACAATCGCCAAGTTAGAGACATCCTATTAACGAATACAACAAGTGACGTGACGAGGACAGGACGCGATGTCGAGAAGGGATGACTTGATCGAGACGAATGACGGAGTTCACGGCCAAATAAGGGGAACAGGTCTGAGGACAGCTACCACAGAATGGAACGGATGAGATCGGCTCGCTTGCAGCTGCTCGATGGATTGTTGCACCACAGTGCCGAGAAAGGGTGGCGGTGGCGGCAAGGGGAGGAATTTCATCCAACGACGAATTGATCACCGCCGACGACAACGATGATGATGATAATGCCACGGTGTTGTAGGAGGGGACGGCCAAACAATGTGTGGCACACCAATGTAGCAACAGGGAGGAAAGCCAATCCGGCTGTGGTGGAGCATCGTTGTGTAACAAAAGCGACTGTTGGCACGAAAAAAGAAAACCCAATTCAGTTCAAATCTCACGCCAACTCCAATCCAGCGCCAGGGCAACGGCCACAGTATACAGTAGGTAGAACCCCTCTTAACGACGGTAATTGATAGCACAGAAAGTTATCCTTTTTCACCCAAAAGACGTACTTTATAATATCTAAACAATGGATATTAATACATTAAAATACTAACATTTTTAAGACATACTATTAAAAGAATCATGGTTAATCAATGCATTCATTAATATTTACTGTACCTACAACAGCCCGTCGTTAACTGGAGAATGGTCGGTAAGCCGAACACATTGGGCTCTATGGAGGCACGACACGACTATACACTACACTATATACTACACTACTATACACTACACTACTCTACAATACACTACACAACTATACACTACACTACTCTACAATACACTACGCAACTATACACTACACTATACACTAGTATACACTACACTACTAAACACTACAATACACTACACTATACACTACACATTGGGCTCTATGGAGGCCCGTCGTGAAGCAATGAGTCGTTAACAGGGTTGGTCGTTAAAAGGGGTTCTACTCTACACTACTATACACTACACTATACACTACAATACACTACACTATACTACCCTACACTACAATACACTATACACTACACTATACACTACAAATTGGGCTCTATGGAGGCCCGTCGTTAGGCGATGAGTCATTAACAGGGGTGGTCGTTAAGAAGGGTTCTACCATATATTTATAATTCCTGAGCCATTATGTAACAAGCAACTATTTGTGGTTTAGTAATTAATGCATGTAAATATTCATGTTGCCAGATTAAAACGTATTCTGTGGATTGAGATGGAAGAAGTAATGACGACGATGATTACAAATCGCCGATTCATGAAGAAGACGGTGATGGTGCGAACGGGGCGATGAACACCGTTTGATTTCAATGTTTTTTGATCTTCATCAGCAACGCATGGCCCGTTCACCAATGCCACAGAATAATAACCCGACATTGCATAAGAACACGAGTCATTCTGAACAGGTTCAGAAAATGAGGCACACCCAAGGGTTACGTAATGCATCCCCCCCCCCCCCCCTTTCTGCATTTGAACCTTATGGTGGGATCCCGTAATAAAGTAAAGCAATTAATTAATTTATTTTTGGTGACTCCGTCCCATCGCGCACAACAACGCCGCGACCCACCTGGCGCGGATCGTTCCGTCGTCACGTCGTGTCTAAGCGAATCGGCGAGGACGAATGCGCACCAGAGCTGAACGAGCGAATGCACTCCATGCTCGGGTATGGTCAGGATCATAATAAGTCTTATCCAAAGCTGCTCAAGCTGCCTACACGACTTTATTTTTATTTCCTTTATTTGTCACAACGGTATGCGTAATACAGTGAAACTGCTCTCTTATCGTCATCGTTATTTGTGACCTACCAATGTCTGCAGCCAGGATAAATCGATGGCAATCCTATTACCTGCAGACATTTAACAGATGAGATGCGTTGCACCGCTGGTTACCCACCCCATCATGTGCCGAGGCGGCCTTCATTGGTGCTCGCAAACAGCACTTGCCCCAAAGGTCTCGTAAGTCTATACGGGGGATCTTTGTTCGCGTCTTTGTTGTGTGTGGGGCAGCGTGCGATGTGGTTGGCGGAGGGAAATTACGTTGGATGCACAAAGTAGACGCACTGAGACTCAAACGAGCATGGGAACAATGTGGAAATTCCACATTTCTACAACGGGAGCCAGTATATTCATCGGGTAACCACTATTGGAAAGCGCCTCGTCTGTGTGTGGGTTATCAAAGACGTGGCTATACGGTAACAAACCGACAATAGTTCCCTGTCAAAGAGTTTGCAATTATTAGGTGGGACCAATTAGCATGGTGAAGCATGATCATAAAACCGCACAACTGACAAGGTACGGCCAAAACCAACAGTGTATTGACAAAGGATAGTACATTACAGTATTATACGACTGTGTGTGTTCTTCTGAATTGTATGAATACAGTGCAGTGTTGCAGGAGGAATTCTGGTTTGGATTTACAATCGCATACCGGGCAGAATTCCTTTTCACATTTGCGAGAGTTTAGTTTCAGCGGAAGCAGCAGGCTGCGTGCATCGTTGGTGAAGAACAGTATGACTGCGTGCACAAACGTAATTTTAAAGGTATATATATACTCCCGATAACATTAACGTTCATCCCTAAATTCACTGCTGGGTGAAAAGGCCTCCCCACATTGTGTCGGTCACAGGGCTAATTGTTTCACCATACTTCACCACGCCGGTCAGCGCAGGTTGGTGGGGGGAGGGCCCAGAATTGGTTGAGATATCACTCGCCACTGACGTTAGCCAGGCCCGGAACTGCCATCCAGGCCGTTGGGTTCATAGTGCGGTGCACGAACCACTACACCACCAAACCACCCTTTCGTTCATTTCACCAAGTTGACTTTGTTTCAATGGACTTCGCCAAATATCCTGCTCTTGCATTCACGCGAGTCAGATTTTAATTTGAATGTGTGACATGTATTCACGTTTTTATTTTACCTCTGATGCATTTCAAGGTCGCACTCTCCATTACAGTTCACTGTAACTGGAATATTATATTATAACTTAGAATGTTTGGTTTCATATACAGTCATGTTGCTGAGGAACCACAGACAAGCGGGAAGGCAGCCAGGCAGTGAGCCAGTGCCAACCATTGCCCAAGCTCTCTAGTCCTCCATATAGTAAGATTTTCAGCCCACTAATAAAGGTTGTTTATACGTGGGAGGAAACCTAAGCGCCCTTAAGAAAACACACATGTGGCTTCCTCTTCTACTGAGACTCGGGAAAAGATCTGGGCACTTTGTAA